GGACGTTTTACCATACCTGTAATTTCACGATCACGAATATCGTGTTAGTTTTGATCAGAGATGATGTCTTTAAGCATTTAGACCAGGTCGGGTCAGGTCAGGTCAGGTCAACCGGTAGGGGTTGTGACGGGTATTCGTAATACGTGTCAACCGCCTCTGACAGCTTCGTAACATGTTACGAAGGCACCAAAACTACTTCGTAAATGTTAAAATGATTGCTAAATTCGAATTCAGCTCCAAAAACTAACTAGGCTAGAAACATGTTAAACTCGAAAAGGTGAGCCGAGGTCACCCGAGGTCACCAAAGGTCAATGACCTGACCTGACCTTCAGGTGACCTTGACACCCACCCTAATGTATGGGAGCAACATCAAATCACATGTTTGAACGTTTGAAACCACGAAAAGCTTGCAAACGCGCGGCTAATGCGAGCCGACATACGCCGAATCGCGATTCCGGCCAAACATGGTCTCGGAAAAGAGGTCACAGGTCAAAGGTCATTTGGGTCAGGGTCATGACATTTTCAGGGTAGGTGTAAAATTGATCAATGCGAGGGTACTGAAAGTTTCGTCGCGATCGGCCGCTTTTTACGCGAGTTATTCGCGAAAAACCTCATCAACCCCCCCCCCCCCTGTGCCGGCGAAAGATCCGCAATCATAAAATATGGCTCACAGCAGGGCTGAAGCATGAAATACGCAAGCATGACCGGTTATTCAGGCTTGCTCAGCGCCACGACTCAGAAAGACATTCAGTTCAATTCGCCGCCGATGATGACAGCATGGTCGGGTGGTTCGTTCCGCGACAGGGTCCGGCTGCTTTGTGCGGCTCGGCGGGGCGGGAGGGGGGAGGCAGGCGACGCGTCTGACAGGCGACACTTGAGCGTCCCGGGAATCAGCTGTCACCGTGCGGCGCGGCGGGCCGTCCCTCCGACCCTTCCCATTGCCTGACTGGGCGCCGGCCGCCGGTCCTCCGGAAGGGTCACTTTGGTATGCGAACTCTTCACCGCACTTGCCCACTGTCAGAGAGTGTACTGAGGTACAGTAGTTTCTAACAGCTCGTTCGATTGGTCTGCCTGCTCAGCCAATCATATTCTGGCAACCTTGGACCTTGGGACCCAACGTCGCTATGGTACTTCCGTATAGCCTGAGGCACCTGGGTACTTATGAATCTTGGGTCCCGTTGGATTCTGGGTCCGACTGTACTTGGGTACATTTGATACACACCCGTTCGACTCATCGAGAAGCAGTAGCACATTAAAAAAAAATCCGAGGTCAAGGTCATAGGTCAAGGTCAAGCTCACTTTAAAAGTCGCCGTACCCTATAAAATCTTTATTTTTAGAGATATTGGAAAATTTCGGCCACCACTGTGCTTCTCTCATGGAGAAGCAGTAGCACATTAAAAACAAATTCGAGGTCAAGGTCATACCTAGGATAAGGTCAAGGTCAATTTAAAGTCGCCGTACCCTATGAAATCTTCATTTTTGGAGATATTGGAAAATTTCGGCCACTTTTAAAGTGACCTTGACCTTGACCTATGACCTTGACCTCGGATTTTTTTAATGTGCTACTGCTTCTCGATGAGACGAACACACTGGTGGGTGAATGTTTCAAATCGGACCATAAACAAAGATTCTACAGGGTACGCAGTGTTTTGACCTCTCAAGGTCAAACGGTTTGACCTAGGAAAAAGGTCACCATTTTCGAACTCAGCGTGCCATGGGCTATCTGTGTGCCATTTTTGAGCGAAATTATTACTCGAATTTGAATCACAGTATTTTCGTTTAAAGTGACCTTGACCTTGACCAATGACCTTGACCTCGAATTTTTTTTAATATGCTACTGCTTCTCGATGAGACGAACACAGTGGTGGCCGAAATTTTCCAATATCTCTAAAAATGAAGATCTTATAGGGTACGGCGACTTTTAAAGTGACCTTGACCCTGACCTATGACCTTGACCTCGGATTTTTTTAATGAGCTACTGTTTCTCGATGAGACAAACACAGTGGTGGCCGAAATTTTCCAATATCTCAAAATAAAGATTTTATAGGGTACGGCGACTTTTAAGGGACCTTGACCTTGACCTACATATGACCTTGATCTCGGATTTGCCCCTACTACGACGAAAGAAACTCTTTGACAAAGCGTCATCGTGCTGAAGTTATGGTGAAGACTGGAATGAAGTAGGAAGTCAAATCGAATACTCTGCCCTAATCCCATTCGGAAACATAGGTAATGGGAAATCATGAAGGAGGAGCTCTGCAAGATTGAACCAGCTCCCACAGAAAACAGACTTTAGAGGAACCTGTGAAAGGTGTGGCTGAACATCAGCGCGGATACTCTGGACATCTTCATTTATGAAATGCCAAAGCGGATGAGGGAATTGGTGGGACAGGGCAGGGGATAAATCGGTAAATAAACCATGACATGACTCTTTGTTTATTAATTATGGCGGCGAGTTGATGGAGGGTTTTGATATGATCTATGTATAAACTTGACAAAGATAGATATCAAAACCCTGTACCTACAACATGATGATAATCCAAAACATAAGCTTATGACATTTTTGAAGGACGAAACCATGCGAGAATAACAGCGTTTTGAACGACAAGCTGGTGCGACAGCCGACATGTGTGCCGGAAAGCAGCTAAAAATGCGCTCATAACGATTACCTAGAAATTCGCGATTAGAAATTTCATGATATTTAAAATGCGAAAAGTTTAAAGAAAATAACACAAAATCGTTTCTTTTAAGGACAATTGACCCCTCAAAAAAGTCAATAACTGTGAATTTTTGATCTGTGAAAATTTCAAAAAGTAAGCTGAAGCAAAAGATTTCTTTCAGACAAAAAAAAACTTAAGACGGACTGAGCTGCCCACAAAGCAAACGGTCTCGTCTTAGGGAAAGACTCCACAACCATAGCGAATGTGCCAAGTTCATGCATGGGCAATGACGAGCGTTTGGAAGTTAACATAGTTTGCATAATGTGTCTTAGAAACAGATGGGAGATATAATGTCATACGATATGCTGCGAAAAAAATTTAGCCCCTGGCACTTCCCATCTGTTCAGGAATGGGGTCGTTTTGAAAAGGAAAATAGTGATTGGGATGTCAGTGCCAGTATTCGTGATTGAAATGGCGCCAGAGAATACCTTCAAAATACACATGGATAGTGTCGATGCAAGCTGTCAGCTCTCAGGGAGAAACAGATGATGCTTTCTGAAAGCTCGTTAAGCCTAACTCGGACGCGGAACGGAAACTGCAGGAGATTTCGCTGCAAGAGCTTAAAAGCAGGAAAACTTTTATCAGCCTCCGGCAGCTGTTGGAGCGACGCAAATCGGTATGGGCACACTGACACGCCTGAAGCTACAGCAAAGGATTTGGTACCAAGCATTCCTAATTAGTTGCCAACTAGGGTTACCCGCGTGCTCCGCAACGCGAAGAAGGGTTATTTTTGACCCATGGGTATTGGGTTGGTTTGTGTCGATTTGGCTGGTATCCATTTCGTTCGATTGCTTTTTGACGGCCAAGCATTTTGTAATTAAAAAAAGATACATCGCATCGAGGTGCCCGTGTCGTATTATCATGCGTTCTACTTTAGAATGATTCGAAAACTGGCGTGAAGTTTTTTGAGGGCCATCGATGAATTTCGCTAAAAATGACAATGTAATTGTTTGGAACAATTGCATTTTTAAGAATACTGTTGCTCATCATGCAAAAATGAAGATTGAACCTTGGACAGAATTAAATGCCCTTTCCAACTGTACCATTTTCAACTGCCAAACGTATCAGGTTATGCGGCAAAACCCGTGTGAATAATAAAGTGGCACATCATCGATGAACACCATTTTCTCCAGCGATTTGTAAAACCTTGGCGTCGATCAATTAGTTATTCACAATTTTCTCATGAGAGGCGATACATTTCTCTTGCCAACAGGTGTTGTTTCAACTCGCTCCGTTGAACGGTCACCTAAAAATAAAATTAATCCCAAAATCCGTCAAAAACCGCAATTTTTCCAATAAAAGTACCCTCACAGGGGCACGTGGCGCGTGCCATCCCTGCACCGCACACCATTCAATAGCCCGTTCGATTCTCTACACGATGCTGTTTTCCCCGTGCCGATCGGGCTCACGGTTACCGAGATATTGCACGGGGATCGGACCCGAGTCGGCCAAAATTAGCCGTTTTCGCCCGATTTTGCAAGCCGATTTATACATGTAAAGTCTATGACGCGAATTTGCTCTTTTTGAGCACGCGCCACGCGCTCCCTATCAATCCGATCGAGCTGAGACCCCTCAAAGGCACGTCGCGCATCCTTGATCTATAAGTTGTGCAAATTTCACCGGGCTAGGTGCAACGGTCTGGCCTGTAGTCCACGCAAAGCACGACCAAGTCGGGACCTCGGTAACGGACAGACGCACCCTCCTCAAATAGTAATATAGAAGCATGCATCTTTGTCAAGTTTATACATAGATATCAAAACCTTATATTTTCGGCTGGTTCTTATATGTTTTATTGGCGTTGGAAATGTGTCAACGAACTTTGGGACACCCTGTATATTAATTTAGATTAAAGCCTTTCAAATGACGGTTTCAATAACCATATGATCATATCATTTCCCAAATCGCCTTCAACGATTTCACAGGCCAGCAATACGCTGAACTACTGGTGTGCAACTGCGGGTCCCTGTACCTACCTACCTATGTAATTGTTATGAATACTGAATAATGATACGATGATACGGTGAGACGTGTGTCCCGGCCCCGGCAGCCCAGACACACGGGTCATGATATCATCACGCAAACGGCAAAGGCAATGTGAATGCTGAGACGCAGTAAAATGCCCCTTTTGTGAGCAAATTGGATGAATACTTTTATTTTGATAGAAGAATGCTTTAAAATAAATGAATAATTTCATAAGACATAAGGGTGGTACTCAACCTTATCATGCGATTTTGCGAACTTATATTTAGTGGTCGCGGCTTAGTAGAAAATCGGCATACACGCCGCATGCTTCTGCAAATGCCGATAAGTTTTGCTTCTAAAATTCCGACTAAAATATGTCAAACTTTTTCGGTTTTGTCATTTTAATTTGTTTTGAATCATTTCAAGGGTACTTTTGCTCGTACATAGTTTCAGGATTCAATTAGTCATGATTAGATTAATCTATTTTGGGTTTAGGAGTATGACCTTGGAACTTCTTATCGTGTGGCATTTGTCAACAATCATGTCTGCTCTGTCTGTCAGCTGCGCTGGTATTGCCTCGTTTGAAATGATGAATGGTTGACAAATTTTTGGCGTTTCATTGGGTTTCTAAATCATTTCAGCCATATAAAGGTGTGTATGCTATGTTTAAGGTCACGTATTTGCTGGACCTTCGCTGGCCCAGATTTGTGTCCTACTTATCACGCTGCGTCGTGGACTACTGTTGACCGCTAACGGTACTTCTCTGTGTCGTGGCTTATCAACTGTATTCGAGCAAGCTGACTCGGTATTTTCCTGTGTTGTTTCTTTGACACTTTTGAACAGAGAAGTATGCCATATCAAATGATTCAAGCCACAGTGCCAAAGTAAGGCAGGGCAGTGGTAAATCTGAATTCAAATTGGAATAGCTTTAGCTGTAGCAAACTATGTTCCTTTGCCTTGCTTTGCTTAAATGCATTCCTAATCCAAGTTTAAAAGGGTTTATCTGAGCAGCTAAGCTTAATTGATAGTTAACTAATGCTTTCAAATATTTTCCTTCTTGATATGCTCACTTGGTTTTTTTTATGTTGCATGGGTAATTGAACACCTGCTAGTCAGGGATGTTTTCGGTTGCAGTAAAGCAAGCGTCACACTTGTTTTTTGCAACCAGGGAGAGGCGGTGTAGGTTAGGTTGTAGGTTGAAGGTTTTAGGTAATAAGTCTTAAAGGGACTATCCCACCTTTAACATGGGGTTTGAGTTGAGATAGCCAAGTTTGCGGCGAGGTTCAGAAACCACTATCTATATAGGTTACAACCCCCGCGGCCTCTTGGTGTTGAAGAAATTCGTTCCCTTCATTAGCTTCTGAAGTCAGCTCAGACACCAAGCTGCGTCATTATCCATCTCCGACACCAAGTCTTGCCTTCATGTGGCATTGACTTGTAATCCTTTACTCAAGGGTACAAACTACAAAGTACAAAGTGATGTCATTTGCTTTAAACCTAACCTAACCAAATCTTACCTAACTCAACCCAACCTGAGCTAACCTAATCTAACTTGGGATGTTTGCCTACTGCCAAAAATTATGAAGTAACTGCCTAATGGCATCCCTTGTCAGTTGAGCTGTGTTATGATATTTTGCACAACTATTAACAGGCTTTCTCTGTGACCAGATACCAAAGTGACATAATTTGTTTCATACCTAGCCTAAATTAACCTGGTCTTACTTAAAGGGACCCTCCCACCTTAACATTAGATTTGAGTTGAGATAGCCAAAATGGGGTCCCTGGCTCACAATTACCGGTTTCGACACTCACAACATCGAGAAATGCCTTAACTCAGAAATATTGAATTTCAAAATTGCAGCATTTTGATTCAGAGGGGCTAATGCTTAGGAATACCCCTCTGAATGTGTGACGTCAGCGCAGATATCTAACGATTTTTAAATGTTTGACTAAAACGTTTTGTAGCACGCGGAGGTATAAGCTATTTGCGCGCAACATCTGCCGCAAACGCCGCACTTCTAAAATAAAGTCGCTAGAAATAGCGGAGATCCCAAAAAAGTAAACAAAAGTAAAAGTCTAATATCTTGAAAACCGGTGAATATTTTTCGATGAAATTTGGTAGATATTCGTTTTCGCTCTTTCTGAACCGAGCGACATCATTTTCATGCCAATTCATAAACTTTTTTGAAGGTGGGAGGGTCCCTTTAAACAAATAGATAACTTTTTGTTTTTGTTATAAAAAAGGTAGTGTTGATATGGGACAAACAATGGAAAGTACATTAGAATTATGTTATTTAGAATTCACTGCATGTGTTTCAATGATACATTTTTTAGCCTTATTCCCCAAATGGTAGCACTTCAAATGTTGGGCTCAATATGCAATCTATATAAAGATAGATATACATACTATTAGTAAATGTAGCCAAAAGCTGTAAATAGACTATCAAGTACATTATAAGGTTTGGACCCAATCTTAAAGGAAATACACCACTTTTAACATGGGGTTTTAACTGAAATGGCAGATTTGTAGCTTGAGCTGAGACTAGCACAAATCAGGAGCTTTCACAGTCCAATGACCACCCTATGCAAATATGTTCCATTTCTTGTTCTGAAGTCATTCCCTTATGCAGGAGTGCCTTCCTTATGGAGCAGTGCCAAGAATGCAGCCACCTGTGGCAGGGTTCAAACATCAGTTTATCAGCATGCAGTTGGTCAAAACTAGGTAATAATTAATCTGATTGGTCAATGTATTGTTAGCTTCTGCTGCAAATACTATCTAGCCTCTATCAAAGATGGAAAATACCTAGTGCTTCCTTAAAAAAAAACAATTGCTCCTCTTGCAAATATTTATTATTTCATAACCTAACAAAAAGCCAATTTTAGGAAAGTAGATTTAAAATAGAACCAAAGGTCTCAACACAGGCTATTCCACCTGTCTGCTGAGTGCTGGGCAATGTAACACTCTTCCATCTGACCACTGACCACTGATGCAGCCATTGCAGCCATTGCATACAGCTGTCAACCATAGCTTCACTTTTTTAACTTTGAACCTACCTAATTGTTAAGTGTCTGATGTAACTGATACCTCCCACCCAGCATCACATGGATAGACAGTTGTGCTAGACTGAATCAGCTAACTGCATTTGATTATGCAATATGCTAGAGCTAAACGTTGTTTATACTACGTTCCACATTTGTGTCCTGATGTTTTAATATTGCCAGCAGAGTGTGGAGAATATGTGCTAAGAAGAGTGGCTGTTTTGTTCCACCCGCTGTACAGCGTCCAGCCGTCGGCCAGGCGCCCAGTACCGCCCCTGTGACGCCCCACACCTGTCCAGTCAGTCTCCAGTCATTGGCCAAGTGCCCAGTACCTCCCCTGACTCGCCACGTCTGCCCGGTCAGGTGGCCGGCCATGAGTCGGTCGGAGGGCCTGGTGCAGCGGCGGCACGCCGTGCGTGACAAGCCGGCCGAGGAGCTGACGGGCAGCGAGGAGGAGGCCGCCGAGTTCAACGACAGAGAGTACGACGGCGACAGCAAGGAGACACGGCTCACACTCATGGAGGAGGTGCTCATGCTCGGCATCAAAGATAAAGAGGTCAGTGTGGTTTTAACATTGGTAAAGGACACGCCACTGAATATGATTGTCATTAGCTTTATTCAGGGACTGTTTTGTAACCCACAGTTTCCATTCATTGTTAGTACGCTTTGTTTTTTTTTTTCGTGTTGGAATTTGTGGAATTTCTTGGCACAAGTCCCGTGATCTACGTGCATCGAATGAAAAATATCCCTCGTGTCATAAGTCGTCGCCTCAGCTTGCTTATTTATTATGGGCTTCTGCCTTTTTGTTTTCCCCCAGGGCTACACGTCGTTTTGGAACGACTGCATATCGAGTGGCCTGCGCGGCTGTGTACTCATTGAGCTGTCGTTGCGCGGCCGCATAGAGCTGGACAAGTCGGGCATGCGGCGCCGCAGCCTTCTCGCCCGGCATGTGAGTACCGTGGTCCTGGGGCCGTATTCACGTCGACTTCGTAAGTCGATTTACTTTCTGAAGTTTAATGTGGTATTCACGTCGACACTTCTTATGACACTTCTAACGTGATTAAAAAATCTTAAGAAGTAGATCATGCTTAAGAAAATTCCTACGAAAAAGATCGACGTGAATACGGCCCCTGGTCAGTCAAGTGTCCTCCTGTCCTGTCAGCTCCCACGGTGTGCTGAATAGCTCTGGCCTAGTAATCGATCGTTTGTGTACCCTGCAGCTAGCGTGGGTCTGCTATCAGTATTGTTTTGGGTATTGTGCGTTTTCTGCGGTGACAAACCTGCTGGCTGACATTTTTTTTCTGCCGCGAAACGCATTGGCTCGGATAGCAGCTCTCTCCCTGTCTCTCCCCTCCTCCCTTCCCTGCCAATCTGACGGGGGACTGGTTCCCGTCCTGCCCGCCAGGTGGTGCTGAAGAACGACCAGCCGACCGGGGACGTCCTGCTGGACGAGGCGCTGCGGCACATCAAAGAGACCCAGCCCACCGAGTCGGTGCAGAGCTGGATCGAGTTCCTCAGCGGTGAGAGGAACTGGGTGGTGAGAGGGGCTGGTGGAGGGAATGGGAGAGGGCGAGAGAGAGAGAGGGAGAGAGAGAGAGAGAGAGAGAGAGAGAGAGAGAGAGAGAGAGAGAGAGAGAGAGAGAGAGAGAGAGAGAGAGAGAGGGAGGGACGAGACCCAGGCCCAGCCCACCGAGTCGGTGCGGAGCTGGATCGAGTTCCTCAGCGGTGAGAGGGGCTAGGGTGGGGAGAGGGGCTGGTGGAGGGAATGGGAGAGGGCGAGAGAGAGAGGGAGAGAGAGAGAGAGAGGGAGGGAGGGACGAGACCCAGGCCCAGCCCACCGAGTCGGTGCAGAGCTGGATCGAGTTCCTCAGCGGTGAGTGGCCGCCCGACGCTCGGCGTGCGGCTGTCTGTAGGCAGCTTCGTGCGCAACATTGTGTTGGGTGGTAGGGTTTGTGTGTTTCAGTGGACGAGGGTTGGCTGGGAGCCGGCCAGCGACATTGAGATGTTTGCGGAGCGCTTTTTTTGTGTTGTGCGTAAGGGTATTCTATGGGAGACGTGAAAATGTGAAATTCGATCTCAGGGGTTATATCTATGCATTCTGGGGAAACCTGCCGAGCACAGTATGCCTGTCTCTCCAGGTGAGACCTGGAACCCGCTGAAGCTGCGCTACCAGCTGCGGAACGTGAGAGAGCGGCTGGCCAAGAACCTGGTGGAGAAGGGCGTGCTCACCACGGAGAAGCAGAACTTCCTGCTGTTCGACATGACTACCCACCCGGTCACCGACAACCAGGCCAAACTGCGACTGGTCAAGAAGGTCAGTGTGGAGAAATACACGTCTGGCATGCAGTCACGGGTCAGTGGGCTGCTCTGAGGTCTGAGCCGGTGGTCTTCCGTACCCGTGCCTGCGACGCTGACGCATCGTCTGCGCTTCAGGTCCAGGACGCTGTGCTGAGTAAGTGGGTCAACGACCCGCACCGCATGGACAAGCGGATGCTTTCGCTCATCTACCTGGCGCACGCCTCGGATGTGCTGGAGAACGCCTTCGCGCCCCTCTCCGACGATGACTACGAGGTGGGTGCGACGGAATGCCCGGTGGCGTCTGTTTTAGGGCGTTTTCTATGCATCGTGGAATTCTTAGGTGCACCTGTCTTGTGTAACAGATCACATTTAATTTTATATTTCGTTTAAAGAAATTGTCGTGTTCGGTTTTCGAAATATCCATCATCTTTTACGCTGCTTCTTGGAGGGCAGTGTGTGACAGCAATCTTCAAAATGGGTTGCTGTGGTCAGCTGCTGTTGGAAGCGATAGTTAGTTTCGCTCTCCGCCGCCAGGTGGCCATGAAGCGGGTGCGTGAGCTGACCGACCTGGATCTAGACGCCGAGGCCAGCAAGCCCAACACCAACGGCGTAATGTGGGCCGTGTTCGCCGCCTTCCTCAAGTGACCGGTCGGCGGACGGCGGCTAATATAGAGCGAGCGGTACCGTCTGCCCTGCCCACGGGCCGGCGGCCGCGCTGACGGTGTGAGGAGGGAGAGCGGAGCGGGTCGGCGCCTGCAGCGTCCGACCCGGAGTCTGACCGGACGGAGACGGGGGATCGAGAGGCTGTCTTTTACCACACGTCCGTCTCGGGCAGCTGGCCGCCGCGCCGGCTGTCCGTGGCGGCCGCCGCGGTGCACGGTGCTGACGACGCAGGCCCGACCGCCGCGATGCACGGTGCTGACGACACAGGTGTTTATTGTTACTGAGTTTTCAGCACCAGAGAGATGCAACCGGCTGAGGCTGACGGGAGTGTGCGCCGGCGGATTTGTTACTTTTTCTGGGGTGTGTTTGAAGTGTGCTCGTGTGTATACTGTATAAGGATGTATATTATGACGTGCGTGTCACTGGCACGCTGTCGGGGCTGCGTGCTCCCCTTCTCCGGTTAGCAGTGCGCCGGCTCTGTGCCTTGTCGCGCTCGCCCCGACCCCGCCGCACCGACCATGCATTCCCGATTAGACGGTCGGCGGCGGGAGTGAGAGTGTGGACTAGTGTCGCGTGATGATATCTGGGGCACAAACTGGCGCCGCGGTGGGGGTCTCTGAGGCGGCCGGGCGGCCCGCTTCTGTCTGTCTCACTCTCTCGGTCAGTGCTATTTATTTGTTTATTAGCGAGGGAGTGAGTGATCGTCCCGGCTAGCGCCCACCACCGTGTGTCAATGCACTGCCGCGAATACAGCCGGACGTATCTCAGCTGTGGCGAGTCGCCAGTACCGCGGACTGATCACTGAGCTGGAGCCGACCGGGCGCCGGCGGCATGAGACAACATCGGCTGGGCGCACACATACCGACGGTAATGTGTTAGCGGCAAGGGCACTCGTAACACTGATACGGGCCCCCGGGGGGAATTCACGTTAAGGTTACACTTAGCGATGGGCTACGACATTGACTGGTTACACTAAATAATAGCTCCCGGCGCCGACGCGGCTAGCTATGCAACGACACATACACATCGCATCGAAGGCTCGGTCAGTCCGGCAAACTGCCAGCTAGGCTGGCACGGAGCGACTGTGAGCACTCATTCTTATCACATACGAAGGTAAGGCGGCTCTGAGGGCAGCACTGAGCGGCTGAGTGCCAGGGGCGAGTCACTCTCCCCTGGCAGGCTAGGCGGCCGTCTTGGTGTCTGCGGCTCCGACGGAAGGAGTGCGCATCATTGGCAGCGTGTTGGGGTAGTGGGCGCCGCGCTTCTTTTTCAGCGTGCCGTCGGCGTTGCGGTAGGGGTAGGAGGCCAGCGTGATGGGCAGCTGTAGCTTCACCTCCTTCTCCAGACTGTCCGGCTTCACCGTGAACTGAGGGAGGCGCAGGGGAAGGGTGTGAGACATCTGGGCGGCACAGGCATAGAAATCTTTAATACATGGGCAGATCTTTATGGACACAGGGGGTTGCCTATAAGACACCTGGGCTGGGTGGTAGGCGGCACAGGGGACAAGACATCGACATTGGAACAGTCGGTTGGGGATATAATGACGCCAGTCACCCGAGACTGCATTTGCGGACCAAAACCAAAACGTAACGCCGGGACTAGAGACTGCAATGCTTCTGAATCTGCTGCTAGTAGACAGCCATTCGGCGAATCCGCTGCCGGACGCAGCATATTCGGGGTCGGCGAATCTGTGTCTGCTGCTGGTAAACAGACTTTCGGTAAATCCGCTGACAGAGCAGCATATTCGAGGCCGGTAAATTTCTGAATCTGCTGCTGCTTGGCACACATTCGGCGAATCCGACGCTACAGCAGCATATTTGGTCCGGCCAAATGTCTGAAAGCCAGCAGAAGATTCGCGAATATCAATTCTGCTGCTAGATTGACGGACATAGTCGTCAGAGACTGCAATACTGAACAGTGAACAGAGCAGCAATGCTAGTCGCAAGACTGCACCTGCGCACAAGAGCGAAGCACCAGCGTCCAGCGGCAGAGACTGTAATACTGAACAGAGCACTAGCTGCAGCCGATGGAGACTGCAGCACTGAGCAGAAAAGTAGGCATCTACCACCAACGGAGGCTCAGTACTGGACAGGGCAGCAACTAGTCATCGGAAACTGCATCACTGCACAGAATACTAGCTGCAGCCGACGGAGACTGCAATACTGAACAAGGCAATAACTACAGCCAGGGGAGATTGCAACATTGAACAAGGCGGTATCTACATACTCTTCGTAGAGACTGCATTTCTGGACAAGACAAGAGAGCAGCTTAGTGCCTACGGAGACTGCAATATTGAACAAGGCAGTATCACCAGTCTCTGCAGACTGCACTTGTCCGCAGAATTCGCAGAAACGTAACACCAGAGAGACTGCGAGAGCACTATTGAACACTACATTGGTGCCAGCTGCCATTGGATCCATCTACGCACAGAGGCGTAACACCAGTGCCTGAGACTGCAATATTAATTGGACAGGGGCTGTAGTGCTGGAGCTCCAGTCGCCGCCCACCGAAGACTGCACTTGCCCACAGAAACGTAACACCCCAGGCGGAGACTGCAATAATTAACTTTTCTAGTAGCTGGAGACTGCAATACTGAACAAAACAATAGCTCCAGTGGCCAGAGACTAACTGCTCAGTGTTCTTACGTAACCAGCGCCGGTGACTGCAATAATGAACAAAGCAGTATCTCCAGTAGCTGGAGACTGCAATACTGAACATAACAGTAGCTCCAGTCACCGGTAGACTGCACACTGTGCACAGGCGCATAAAAGCGTAGCACCGGGACCAGAGACTGCAATACTGAAGTGAGCAGTAACCACAGCCAACGGAGACTTAAGTACCTACTGAACAGGACACTATCTATAGCCAGTGGATACTGCTATAGCACAGTGTCTACATTATATGCTACAGTCAACGGAGACTGCACAGGCGCACATAATTGTAACACCGGGACCAGAGACTACAGTATTGAACGGAGTAGTGAGTAGTAACTCCATGACTCGCTTGAAACCTACGCATTGCGCACAGCAACGAAATACCACGGCTGGAGACTGCAATGCTGAACAGAGCAGTAGCTAGCCACCGGAGACTGCAATGCTGAACAAGACAGTAGCTAGAGCCATAAGAGACTGCAGCACTAGACCGGGTAGTGGCTAGTCGCGGGAGACTGCGATGCTGAACATGAGTGAACAGGGTAGTAGGTAACTACAGCCAACGGAGATTGCAACGCTGAACAAAACTAGCTACAGCCAACGGAGACTGCAATACTGACAAAAGCAGTATCTACAGTCAGGGGAGACTGCAACTCTGAACAAGGTAGTAGCTTATCATCGGAGACTGCAATACTGAATAGAATAGTAGCTACAACCAAAGGAGACTGCAGTACTGAGAAGGGCAGTATCGGCAGTTATCGGAGACTGCAGCTATGCAAAGAAGCGTAGCACCAGAGCAGGGGACTGCAATACTTCATACAGCAATACCACTAGCGGAGCTTCTACCGCTGCCCTCGGAACAGGTAAGGCCGCAGCGTCACTTACACCCCAGATTTGGGTATATAAATGAGCGTTGATATGGACACTGCACCAGTCAGTAGGGCATGAATTTGTCAGACAACCTCTGGATATTACGGGAGGGGAGGTCCCGTTCGTCCCTCTGCGCGCGGCGACTGACCATGACGTTGTACTGGATGGCGATGAGGTGGCAGCCGCGCAGGTTGGACGGAGGCAGCGGCGGCACCACCAGCTGCTCGTTCTTCCAGTCGTCCGAGTCGGCCGGGCGCACCTTGCCGCGCGACACGCGGCACAGCTCCCGCACCTCCGTGTTCACCACCTTGTTCTTGGAGAGGTAGTGGATCGTCTGCACGGGACACGGGGCGATGATAAGAGCTCAGTTACCTGCCCACCATTGTTCCGTCATGGTTATTGGCAACGAATCCGTTCAATTAATTACGTCAGAATATTCTGCCCTAAGCATCTGTCAGTTGCCAGGGGTTAGCAACTAAAAGGAAGAAGGCTTGTGACACGGATGATACATTAATTTGCTTTAGAGTTTAGATAGTTTGACTTTGATTATAGTTATGAAGTAGGTGAAAAGATTTTATACACAGTACTCTGGGAAAACTAAATCCTATCTCCTTAAACAATGAATAAAACGTATGGCAATGATTTACCGCTCAATAGACGTGCCTACTGCCTATCATTGTAATCCTAACCGAACAAAAAGTCACAGAAAACAAAGACGAAAGGAGTTCGCCAATCCATCGCTACCAAATGCATGGGCCTGTCGCATAACGCCACAAGTGTCGAAGCGGCATCATCACCCCGGAATCTGGAGAGCACAATGGTGTCGGTGTTTGGTAAAACAAGGCCACCTGTCGTATTACGCGACGCTTTGAATGTTTCCCAAAAGCAGCTGCCACAGTTTTGTAATGTCACGCGACACCGCGAAGCAGTGAATCAGAGCTACACCAGCGTCTTTAAGGTTTGAGCTTTTGTATTGATGTTGTGAGTGCTCCCTGCTACGCTTTTAGGTTATTTGACTTGCCTGCTCCCAATTAAAAACAAATGGCGTTGAACTGTAATGTATTGAGTCCATCGGTAACTTGAGCCCGAGGAAAGGAGGACGCCAAAAATATACGTTTACGAAACCAAGGTGTCAGCATTTACTGAGTACAAAGACTGAACTACTTGGTGCCGCATCAGACGGCCCCCAAGAAATGGTCGGACAAGTGGCCCCAAAAGTATACCATGCCTCCTCCAATACGTTCCGATTATCTGAGGCAGCTGAAGAGAAGTCGCGACTCTATACCTACGAGCCTTTGTGTCTCACCTCAGTGAGGCTGGCCGTGGTCCTCTTGATGGTGACCTTGCTGCGGTTGTTGATGGTTGCCCAGATGCCGATGCTCTCCCCGGGCACGAAGCCGCCCCGGTCCAGCTTCAGGCGGCAGAGGACCGGGCCCGAGCTGATGCAGCTCATGCCGAGCTTGTGTTCCACCTCACAGTGAAACGGCTCCTGAATGTATCGGCGGCTTCGTCAGAGGTGCTAGCACACGGCTGCATTCACCGTACTAAATCATCATCAAGCAGGGAGGTGGCGTCTACCTAAAGGAAAAGATATTACTACCTAAAGGCTGAGATATTAATAGGTTATTAATAGGTGTGCTTGTAGAGTAATGGGATTGCCGCTAAGTAGCGGAAAGTTAATTGACAATTTTATTTTTACAAGTAAAGTCGAATTACGTCTTTTTCGACCTGCTACCAAGGTTCACTCCTGTCGCGATCTGATGGTCCCCGGGTCTCCCATCAAGGCAAGTTCAGGAGTTCACTCGACACGCCGGCACGGCACGCAACCGGTCTCCGTCCGCCAGATTTGGAGGGGCGCCCCCGTGGCGCGGGACATCAGATCGGGAGCGCGGAGACCGACCCTACCCCTGGACTCCAGAGCTGCACATATCTAGAGGCTCCGGATCCGGGAGTCTCATCCTCATCGGAACTGGACAGTCACCGATCCCGGGAGCTCGGAGGCGTTAATTCGACGTGAAATAATCGGTCTGGGTACAAACAGAGTTCGATAGCGATATTCGTCTCCGGGCTAAGTAAAAAATACCGCACTTCCGAGTAGACATTTAAGTAGGAATATACATATAAATAATACATTGGCTTAAATCGTTCGCAGCTGAGCCTATGATGGATGTGCTTTTCGGTGGTGTTTCGCCTAGTCTCGGGTGCTGGAAACTCACGGCTAGTGCGGGCGGTTCCAGGTTGAGGTCTATCGGGCTCATGACGATAAACACCTGCTGGTTCTTGTGCACCAGTCCGCTCTCCTCTTTTATTGCCGCCCGGCAGAAGTACTGCACCCAGCCGTGTTTGCCGAGGAAGGTGGACGGCACGCCGAGCGGCAGGCCGAGCTGGAACGGGAAGCTGTGGATCCCGGCCGATAGCGGGATCGGGTCGCCGCCTGCCGACGCCGCACAACCGGTATATCAGTATACCACACAAAATGTATGGCTTCATTTCAAATCAATTTACATGGGAGAGGTATAATAAAACTCGGTAGGTACGCCAAAATAAGGCTACGCCGAGTACGGTTAAACGCTTTTAGTAGTAAATGTTTTGCGTCGGTTTCAGAGCTCTCTGCTGCAGTGACTTAAATCAAAATTTCATGCGGGGACTTGCCTTGTTCTCCGAGTAGCCGCATCTTGAAGTCGATGTAGTTTTCCTTATCGACGTGTTTCTTGTTCTGATTGTCACCGACTTTGACTGTGCACTCTCCAATAACATGGAAAAACACTCCTGTGGAGAAAGAGCAGAAAGAGCTGTGGTGTTACAAGACATACCTATAACTGTTTAAACCAATATCCATTTGTTCATCACGTTTCGAACAATTAAAGACTAACATTGCTAATCAATGTAATGACTTGCTTACTGCAAAGTCCTGCTTATCGCAATTCACGTTAACAACTGAGGTAAAAAGGGTGGCTAGCTAAGCAGCTAAGCAACAGGCTAGCTAGGCAAATCATACTATGGAAACTTACATATCTTACAGTGGTAAAAACGTATCCGTATATCCTGATCTTTCATCATTAGGTACCTATAACGTTGCATGGTCAGAGCGGCATAAAAACAGTTAACATCGCAAAAACTTGGCCTCGTCCTTATAATAGGCCAAACTTGTCTCAAATACGGCGCATTTCTTATTCTTTGGTACGATGGTAGAATGATTTGCTTTTCTTTTAGTGATTAGTGTGGTTGGTTTTCATATAAGATAGTGCATGCTTCTTCACTTTTACGGTCGTTTCATTTTGTCTTTATAATCGTCTCGTTTACCGAACTCGTTTGATAATTTCGCAAACTGCGAAGTCTCGTTTTAACAATGCGCTCAAGTATATTTTGGGCGTTATAGCACTCAAACAGTGGCCTGATATATATTTTTTTTCAGACACGATGTGCTGTGAACTCTCTGAACAGTAAATGGTGGTTACAGACTTTAAACGGTGATATAGCCTTTTATGTAAACGGCGGCTCGACACTGGACATTGGACAGTAGCACTGGGCACTGGGCATGACATTCAGTGTCAGACTGTGGACACTGCTGCAGCCCCACAGCCGCGGGTTACAGCTGACCTGCATAACCTCTGTAGCTCCATAGCCGCGGTATGGAACACACGGCTGGTCCGTATAGATATCTTACTGCAGCTCATACAGCCAGTGGACGGCTGGTCCGTATGGCATCGCACACCTCCACAGCCTGTGGACGGCTGGTCCGTATAGCATCGCACAGCTCCACAGCCTGTGGACGGCTGGTCCGTATAGCATCGCACAGCTCCACAGCCTGTGGACGGCTGGTCCGTATAGCATCGCACAGCTCCACAGCCTGTGAACGGCTGGTCCGTATAGCATCCCGCAGCTCCACAGCCTGTGGACGGCTGGTCCGTATAGCATCGCACAGCTCCACAGCCTGTGGACGGCTGGTCCGTATAGCATCGCACAGCTCCACAGCCTGTGGACGGCTGGTCCGTATAGCATCGCACAGCTCCACAACCTGTGGACGGCTGCTCTGTACCGTATGTGTAGTGCGTAACTATATGTTACTTTATAACATCCTGCAGCCCCACAGCTGGCCGGCCGGCTGAGTGCCAATCCTGACAGCTGGTATACTCATAGTGTGTAAGTGTATATTTGTATACTGTATAACATCCTGCAGCCCCGCAGCTGGCCGGCCGGCCGGCCGGCCGGTCGAAGGTCGGCGCCGCGCCGGTCGTGTGTGGGCGTCCCCGGCCGGCGCGGCGGGCGGAGTCGGCCGAGACGGGAGAGCGGCTGCGGCCAGCCGGCTGGCCGGGACACCTCCGCCCCCCGGCCGCGGAAACGACCGGCCGCACCGAACACCTGACCACATCTCGGCCCGGGGCAACGGACCGGTGCAGGGTGGGATATAGCGCCACAGGTGCATGACAGCTTTCTACTGTAACATATCGAACAGACATACTTATTTTACATACGGCAAAGTCGATTTATCGTGATAATGCTATGAAAGTGGGGCGGATGTCTTTCTGCAGAGTTTAAGTTGATTATAGGTACGCATTCTTTTTCTCGTAGATACATAACCAATGCGCTCTTATTTAGTTGCATATGAGTAATCAGGGTGACCAAGGGGCAATGATTTAAGATACCTTTTTTAGACAAATTAAGCGCCTTCGCTCGTTAGCGTCGTTCGTTGCCCTCGCTCAACATACCATACGCCTGACCATAACCCATTCGTGAGCGACTGGCTGCATTGGTATGCCACAGCAACTCAGGATGAGCCAATCGATAGTTTTATACGCACACACACGCCATTTTGCTCTGCAGTGACGCAGTTCCCCCAGCGTTTAAGGTAAGGAATGTGAGTGGGTGCGCTGGGGCCCCTTGGGGCAGCTGACTGGGAGGCTGCGGGCCCACCTTCTGGGGGCAGACAGACCCCCACCCCCCCCCCCCCCCCACTCCCCTTGCACCCCCGACCAGGACCGGCCGGGACCAGACCAGCGCGTGGAGGAAAGATTGCACATCACGGGAGATCCTCAGCAACCGCCGGAACCACAATGCGCCTATACACGTGACCGAGCCATATACGGGACCAAAGCGCGTCACAGGTATGACGACTAACCAGACCTTTAGTCATATCCAGTAATGATGTCATTGACCAGACATCCTCATTCCTTGCGACATCGATGAAGGTCAGTATTACCATACCTCCTAAAATTTCAATAACGATAGCATTGAGCAGCATTGCTTTCGAGAAGCTTGTTGGTCTTTATTGAAGCTCATAGAACCGTTTAAACAGTTCCCTAACGAACAGATTTATACTTGCACCAGGCCTGCTATATAAAAACCGGCTTGCATGAAGAAACGGGACCCATAATGCCGAGCACTTGGATACGTAAGCTTCCGATGCCCATTGCCTAATGTCTCCCAACAAGTATTGCTTTTGAATCCGGATGTAGCAATATGGGCTGTGGGGCTATTTCTCGAGGGAACTGCTGGGGAAAGCCGCCCCACCGTCTGGCCTGCGAAGTCTGCGGTGTTTGTGGCCACTGTTTGTGGCCACTGCACGCTCCCTTCCAATGTAGAACTACATAGCCTGAGTGCCAATGGCGATCACTGACCAGTGTGGGTGTCGCTCACCGGCCATTGCCGTGCACGGTGAGCGTCACCGACCGGTAGGTACAGGATCGCTCATAAGGCGGCTGACAGGGCAGCACCACCGTCCTTCCGACTCATAGGAGATGGGTCACAAAGTCGCCTGCCGATCACCGTGCTGGGAAAACTAACCGTGCATGGCGGTGACTCACCTACCATGACGAACGTGTTTATCCGCGTCATTCCGATTTTATCTTTCAGCTTCACTTTGGTATCACTTTTACGTTTCTTGTTTCTTAGCAATACACAGAGGTCGGGAACAAGGAAAATAGCCTACTATGCATTTCAGACCCCATGAGACCCTGTTTTTTAGCGATAATTTATTTAATATTTGTCCAATTTGCTTCAAATTTTCACAATGGACATTTCAGCTCAAGCGCCAATTTTCGTCAATATGGTCTCTTAACAAAATATTAAATTTAAAGGTACTTGTCGTTGCCTCGTAATGTTAAAATCGGCTCCGTAAATCCGTCAGTGGAGTAGAGGCTATCCATGCGTACGCATGACGTCACAAACACGTGACCATTTAGCTCCGCCCTCCCGGCGGACGGGGCGGTGACCTTGGCCGGTCAGTCGGCTGCGTGGAGCGGGCGGCGGTGGCTGCCGGACCGGGGCGGCTCGCATGGAGCGTAGCTGCCGTGCAGTTGTTGCAGCCGTAACTTCATCGAATGAGCAAAAAAAAGCACGCATAAGTAACGCACTAGCTGAGACCCTTGACTTCGTATTTATCACAAATGTACGTACTTCCTGTTCAGTCACAAAAATATAAATTCCACACAATATTCGGGGCTTGTGAAAAACGCACATAAAAGACGCTGTTGATTTCAAGTGGTTTCGTAAAATTATGTATCAGGTCAGACTACGTCCAAATTACAAAAAAAAAATGTGTTTCTTATAATTCTACACCTTTTATGTCGGAACATTTTTATGTTTCTAGAGCTCTGTAGGCCTGACAGCTCTTCCTGCGAAACCTTTCCCGTATAGTGCTGACCGTTCCCGTATAGTGCTCAACGCCCGCCTGCCACATTCCTATTTCTTTTTGTGCACGTCTTAACAATATAACACGTACAGCGATAAAGGACAATTCGACCACACGACACATCACGCTTCTGCTCCACCCGGCGCCCCGCACCGCTTTACGAATCATGAATACGGTCGTCTCGCTGGAGTGATGCCCCAGGCAATCGGCCGCGCCCGCGACATTAGTCTTCATTCTACTTTGTTGCTTTGTGTGCCTTCCTCAGAAACATTTATTGAAGCTGCCAAATATATCAATATTTTTGGGTCACGTGGAAGCTTACGCATAATATCACAGGTAATCGGGTATAGTGACCTGACCCGACCTGACGATCAGATAGGTGCAACTCCGGCGTAAATAAGTTCATCTATCTTTTCTCTTACGGCCGGTTCGGTCCTATAATTGATCCTACTCTGATTCTGAGGCCAGTTTTACCAACTGAAAAACAGCCGCCTACCGGAAATTTTCACCTAAAGACCGCTTCACATACGGAGCGTAAACGCGATGGGCACGTAATCAGATAGGGCTTTGCTTTTACGCTCCGTATCTGAAGCAGTCTCCACAAAAAAAAAAATCGGCAGGCAGCTATTGTTCTGTTGGTAAAACAGGCCTCTGATCATTATGAATATTATGAACTGGTTCGACGTTAAAATACCAAAATATGGAGAAGAGGACACCACTGCCATCGAACGGATAATTTTTTGGCTTTCGTCCCGAAACAACTTTGCCAGCTCCATTGTCTCCAGTATGCGGTCCTGATGCGACCTCTCCGCGGTGCTGACGCCGACTGAAACGGCATAGACCCATCGCGGTCACGGCCAGTGGGCGGAGTTAAGTTGGGCCCGGCGTAACGTGATTGGCCAGCGCTCTTATCCAATCCGGTGCGGCAGCGAGCGAGCCTCTATCCGGGCGCAAAAACTGATTAACATTACGAGCCAGCGACAAGTGCTCTAAATATTGATATTTTGTTAAGAGACCATATTGACAAAAATTGGCGCTTGAGCTGAAATACCGTATGCCAAAATTTCAAGCAGATTGGACAAAAATTGGATAAATTATCGCCGAAAAACAGGGTCTCATGGGGTCTGAAATGCATAGTAGTGCCCCATAAACTTTCGAACCGAGCCTTCTAATCCTCGTGAAAGTGAAACTTCATTGACACCTTTTACTTTGAACTTATTTTCATGGGCACAACATTCCCGAGAATGACTATAAATTTATCTTCTCTCTCTCTCTCTCTCTCTCTCTCTCTCTCTCTCTCTCTCTCTCTCTCTCTCTCTCTCTCTCTCTCTCCTCTCTCTCTCTCTCTCTCTCTCTCTCTCTCTCCTCTCTCTCTCTCTCTCTCTCTCTCTCTCTCTCTCTCTCTCTCTCTCTCTCTCTCTCTCTCTCTCCTCTCTCTCTCTCTCTCTCTCTCTCTCTCTCTCTCTCTCTCTCTCTATCTCTCTCTCTCTCTCTCTCTCTATCTCTCTTCTCTCTCTCTCTCTCTCTCTCCCTCTCTCTCTATCTCTCTTTCTACTCCCCTTCTCTCCATTTCATATCTAACCGAAACCTAACAGGCAGAGACAGAGCTGTCTAACAAACAAAAGTTGACGGATAAAACTCACCCATGACAGTGGTCTCCTCTTCCAGCTCGACCAGCACCCGGCCCCGGATGAACTGACCCGGAAAGTATACCAGGTTCTCATTGTCGAACTTGATCAGAAACTTGAGCAGCTTGCGCGACATCGTGTCAGATCACTGGTGTCACACTCGCTGAGAACGTCTGTAGGCTGCGCGAGGCGCGGCCTGGACTAGGCGTTAAGCTCAAGCGGTCCGTATGCCTACCTACGGTCTTTTGGGTCTGTTTCTTGGTTAGCTCACTTTTGTGTCACATATAATTTTGACACTGACTTATTTCAAACATGGCACAGTCAGCTCGCCTGGAGTGTGCTGCGAGCATCAGCTGCTATCCACACATGTAAGCGTAGGTCACTGGTCACCGCACAGTTCAAATCTCCGTCTCCGTCGCCCCACTCTCCCACGGACCGTCGCTGCCGGCCCCCTCTACGGACCGTCTCCGCCGTCCGGCACCCCTCACACGGCCCACCAGCGACACCGGGTAACACGACACTGGAGCCGCGGCGACGGCGCTCACTTTCGTTCGTCGGTGCAGAGCGCGTGGGCGGGCCGGTCTCAACCTCCTCCGAGCCGCTGACCTGCCCTCTACCGGCAGCAGGAGACCTGTGACAGCAGGGGATGCGGCTCCATTGGGCATGTAAAAGTAAGGTCGGCGGAAGCTGGACGGAGGCAGATTTGAATCACTGAGAAACGGACCCGGGATTAATATCGGTAAGTCGCGTTGGGACGTTTCGGCTAACCATGTCCATGTCATGTTTCATTATGTGTTGTTTGTGATGTGATGTGTTCATGTGATGTTTCATTAGATAATGGCCCATAAGTCGTTCAATGTTGTTGACGTAAGGTTATTTGTTATTGTAATCTTATATCACGTCAAGGAATTATTTAATCTATGACCTTACCACCCTTGTCAAAATATTTGAGTGTTTGCTGGATGTCTGACATTCGCTCGATATCAGCAAAAGGCGAGTCATTTCCCAATCTTTTATTCATTCCCATTTTCAGATTCAGGATAAACGTTTCCATGCTTGACATGTATTGTTTCGCATTTGTATAGCATTGAAAAACACAACCAAACAATCTGCAGTCGAAGGTTGTTTTTATGCAAATAAAATAAATACCAATCATGGCAATAAAGGAATTCACATGCAATAAGACTAGAGTTATAATTAGCCAGTAAATTTAGCAAGCGTAGTGAAAGCTCAAACCAAGCATAACAATCCTTACGAAATGCACATTGCACAACTCAAAAAGTTAAAACCAATACAGACGGTTCCTTGCAATGCACGTCTTTGAGCTAAAACACAAAGGTAAATGATGTAAAATAAACATGCACTCAGTCCGATCGGGCGCATCCAGTGAGTTCATTAGGCAAGGACACGGGTTCTACCTCTCCCTTTTGTGCTTCACATATAGTTCAGCCAAGAACGGATTATATGCCACGCCGACCCGCTTGAGCCTAGCACATCACAAATGGAAATCGGAGATTCAAGGTTATGACACGATTAGGCTTCAACGGAGACGGCATCCGATTGAGATTCCGCTGTCTCCGGGACAATATCCAACTGGGATTTCTCTGTCTGGGCGACTGTACCCGACGGAGATGAGGCAGCAGTAGAATCAGTACCTGACGGGAAACTTGGCGCAGCAGCGTCTTTCGACATCGAGTCGGGCGACGTGACGACCGTCTCTGCGCCGAGATCTGGCTGTTCGGCAGCTTGAGCGCCCGGCTGGTAGGTGACTTCCTCGTTACTACAGTCACCGTCCTTCCGACTGCAGGGAGCAGTTGAGCTCAGCCGAGCCAGGGCCGCTGCGTAGCAGACTGCAGAGACCTCAGAGGCTCCGGGTGGTCGGGCCATGACGCTCGATTTAGACGTCTCGGAAGATGGTAAGGGTTCATCTGCGAGAGAGTCAGACGAAACGGTATCTTTTGCTTCAATAGTGCTCTCGGATGCGCCAGTCTCTCGATCAGGATTTCTCGGCAAAGCACTCTCTTCATCATCCTCAGGAGTGTAGGCAGAAGGACCAATTGCTCCCCGCTCTTGGCTGTTGGCTTGGTCACTTTCCACTGCTTCATCCTCAGTTTTGGTGGAACCACCAGGTCCCTGTTCCTCGCTGTCGGCTGGGCTACTTGCCTCCGACTCCAAAGTGTCGCTGGAAGGACTGGGCTCCGCCCCCTGACTCCTGGGTGAGCCACTAGCCTCTGCCACACTGGACTCCCGCTCCTGGTTGCTGGATGGAGCACTCGCCCCTGTGTCGGAGGATGTGGCCTCCCGTCCGGGACTCTCCGTCTCCGTTCCGCTCGCTGACGGTCCGGTGGTAGGTGGCAGTTCGCCGGCGCCGGCGCTGTCCTGGCTGCTGACGGGGGCGGCTCCCTCGGCCCGCGGCTGCTGACGGACTGCTGACGGCTGGAGCCGACCGCTGCCCGGAGGCCACCTGGTCGGCGCCGCGCCGGCGGGCGGGGCGCGCTGGCCGCGGGACGGCGTCACTGTGCGCGACCCCTGCCGAGCCGCGGGCGGCGGGGCGCCGGCGGTCCGGTCGTGGCTGCCGATGTGCGGCTCCGGGTAGGCGCCCGCCAGGATGTTACGCAGGTCACGCTCAGCCTGCGCCAGTTCCGAGCGCCGGGTCAGCTGCCACGTGGTGTCGAAACAGAACTGTCCGGCGCGACAGGAGCAGGCCTTCAGCAGCCAGTCGCGGCCGACACGCAGGCCCTGGCTGGCATCGATGGTTTTACTGACGGACTGGAAGACTGAGAGAACCGGTCCCTCGTAGGAAAGACGCCGCTCTGAGCACCGGTTCGTCACCAGCACTCGAAACGCGTACATCTCCGCCCGGTCGTTCGCCGTCAGGGCGTGACAGAGGAAGTACAATTTGCCGCGGTCGGCGCGGATCAGACACCGGAACAGCACGGACTCGGTCGTGTCTTCCAGGAACTTCTCCTGGCCGACGCACCCCAGGGAGAAGCTGAACCGGCCGTGCATGGCGCGGTGCAGCCGCTCGGACAGCTCGTGCTTGCTGGCGAGGTGGGCACGCGCCTCCACCAGCGGCCCTTTCCAGCTGCACGAGACGAGCGCCTCGACACAGCGGGCCGGTCGGTGTGGACAGCAGCGCTCGTGTTGGGCGCGCGCGGCGGCACTGACCCGCTCCGTGCAGCCGCCCGGCAGGTACCGGCACGGCCGCGGCAGCTCGCGGATAATCTTCTCCAGCGCCAGCGCCCGCACGTGGTACATCCAGGCCTTGCAGACGGGGCAGGCGCGCACGCGCGGTCGGCAGCTGGAGCACACCGGGTGGCCGTTGTTGCATTGGTAGATGGGCGGATACAGCTCCTGGTAGCAGACGGGACACTCCAGCACGTCCAGCAGGCAGGAGATGACCTTGCGCATGTCTGTCACGGATACCTCCCGGCTGGGCTCCGGCTCTGTGTCACTGTCGGAGAACAGACACGGCCGGGGGTCAGCAGTGGACGCGTCACGACACAACCGCTACAGTCTACAGACAATTGCAACTGCTTCCTCGAAGTTTATGAAGCACCAGCTCCACATTAGCTAAAATGTATCAGATGTCAATGACTTGTTTACAGTGTCCCGATATCTTATTGTTTGTTTATTAAACACGCGCCCCGTAGGGCTACCGGCGGACCCTACCACCCGTAGGGGGGGGGGGCGTTTCGCCCCCCCCCTAAGATCTCGGTAATTTACCGGCCGATTTTCAAAATTCAAACGGTGTTCGATAACCCCACCCGGGAACTACCTTGTGACCAAATTTCATTGACCTAGGTCAAACCGATGACGTCACAGGTCAGGTCAAATGTCGGATTTTCACCGTTCACAGGCATTTCAAGAAATGTGTTGTGAAATCGAGTAAATTGGTAAGCTATTGAAAACCATCGATGGTACATTGTTCGTCAAACACATACTTCGCTACCTGAGGTCACTGATACCAGGTCAGGTCACAGAGGTCAGGTCACAGAGGTCAGGTCACAGAGGTCAGGTCACAGAGGTCAGGTCACAGAGGTCAGGTCACAGAGGTCAGGTCACAGAGGTCAGGTCACTGGGGGTCACCTGGAGGTCACAATATGAAAGTGTCGTGTGATACATGTTTTATGGTCCATTTTACATGACAAATGCGATTATGTGGGTCAGGCAGCCTTTAGGGCCAGCTTAGATCACGTTTTGGTGAAGGTCAGGTCAAGGTCAGGTCATTTTAGGTCAAATTTCAAAGTTGATATTTTTACATAAAATGGGTATCGATTCGATGCAGCTCGTCGCGGGGAGTCCAATGGTGGTCTTTGTTTTGCCCTACGTGGGCTAGAATTGCCAAAAATTGAGTTTGAAAATTTGACGTCATCATTTTTGAACAGTTTGTTCGCTATAACTTGCCTAAAAAAAAAACGAGATATCGATCTGAAATTTGGTATGTAGATAGAAGACGGTAGGCACTATCACATATATTCCGGTTTTTTCGAAACTCAAAAAACTTTTTGGATTTGTTGGCTAATATATCCAAAAAATCGCATTGTTGATTTTGGGGGGCAAAACTAAAAAATTTCAAAAATCCTAGATGAATTTTGTAGCCCTGTTAATTCTACACCTTTTATGTCTTGATCATTTTTCTGTATCTTCGAAGCTGTAGGCATGACAGCTCTTCTCGCGAAGTTCTTTTTTTGGTCGAAAATGGAAGAACTTGACGTCATTCTGACGTCATTTGTGGCCAACCTATCATAGCCTCTGGAAACATTTTTGGTCCCAATGTGTCAAATTGATGCCCGGAGGGGTCCTGAAAGTTTGGTGGCGATATCTCCAGCCGTTTAGGAGATATCGACGGAAAAGGACAGGAGGGCCGTTTCGCCCCCCCCCCCCTACGGGGCGCGGGCTTTCGGGTGCGTCGATTGTGGGGGCCATTTTTGCGCCCATGCCCGATATCTTAAATCCCAGTAAAAGTGCAATGCGAGACCCATGACCTTCGCCTGCCCGGGGGGCGTTTTTCGCCCCCCCCCCCCGGAGAATATTGGCGATAGCTCCCGAACCCTTAGGAATAAAAAAGCGAAACTTTCAGTACCTTTCCCCCCTTCAATATGACATCTTCTGGACTTAAAATTTTTGACCAAGCTCCCTTTAAAACGTCACGGTCGATTTTTGTGGACCCATGCACAGCAAACTTCGGTGCCAGAGACGTCAACTTCAAACAGCTGCCAAAAATAGAGTTTTAGAGATAAAGACAAATTACGAACACGGTTTTGTAGCGTTTGACCTAGGAAAAAATACAAAAATAGTTTTGGTGACCTGAGGTCAGGAGTCAGGTCAACCAGCCCAAGCAGGGATTTTAGCTTTCGCAAATACCGTCACCTTTAGGTCTTGGGTGGTTCTCCCCCCAGCTGCTGGCTGACATCTATAAATCATTGGACGAAAGAAGACTGCGCCTACTTCGTACAAAATTAACAAAGTAGCTTTGGAATGAAGTTAAGTAAACTCAGATGCCTAATGATCCGAATTATAAATGCGTAACTGGAAGGGATAAGGAGAGCGTTTAAGGTAAGGAGAGGTAACTTCGTGAAATCCTCAACTTTGTGATTCGCAATTTTTCAGAAATCTGAAAACTTGCAGCGCTGTCAACCATCTCGTCCCGTAGGGCTCGGGCAGTAGGCGGAGTGACTTTTTGGTAAGTTGTCCCTCCTTCGGTTTATATGGTGTTACCCAAAATGTATTTTTCGAAGTTAATTCCTCTTTTTCTGGGTTAATTCAAACTAACGTACCTTTCTCAACTCAACTCTTATAATACTCTTTCCCAACAGATATATACTTTCCATTGCCAGATATTTACCTTTACGTGGCCCGCTGCGATTTTAGGCTTAGCTGCACGGGCAAGGAGGGAAATCACGTTATGGTCTGAAGACAACATCGAGGTGCGCTGACGGCTGTTAAAAGAGGCTAAATTCAGCAAAACTTCTCGTTTTTACGGCATCCCAAGACAAACGCTTGCTTATATCATTGAAAGATACCTAATTCACGAAGTTATGACCATACGTATGAAGTTAGGAGCAAAGAACGTCTTTTTTAAAACGCAATTTGCGAAAAATTCACAGACGATAAAACAAACTAAGAAGGACCATAACGTGTGCAGTGTAATGAAATGGTCGTGCTAGATATGCTTCAGCCTTTTCATACCAACGCAAAATGTTGGCTCTGGAGGAAGATTTGTACCTATTTTTTTCACGAAGTTACCTCTCCTTACCCTAATCACAGGCCAGAGCGATAGAAGCGCCTTGGATGGCCAGAACAGATGATGAAAACAGATCTATTAATATGCATTATGCAGCATGACATTTTCCGGTGAGACCATGACCTTGACCTTTCGTAAAAATTTCAAAATGATATTTAACTCTCTCCGGGCTGGTGGGGGGGGAGGGGGTGTTTGAGCATTCCCATGCGGTTTTTGGCATACCGGTTCATGCATCTTTTCCACACATGTGAAAATTTCGGATCCGGATCATTCAATGTCAGGTCACCAAGTCACTTTGAGTGACCTCACCTCATAAAAAGTTTCAATGTTTGTCATAGAATCACCGAGTGGTCGATTGCTTTGAAACTTTCAGCGATTGCTAAGGCCAACAGTACCTGCCTACCTATGATGAAAAATGTATATCTCGGAATTTTGATATCGGTGACCTAAGGTCAGGTCAATTTTGTGACCTCCCCATTACATGGGTCAATAGCAGAAAATTAAAATGCGCCTCTTTTGGACGAACGCCATTCCAATCACTTTCAAACACTAATAACAAGTAAACATGACACAATGAACCGGTAAATGGCACCTCTAACACCTTCTTATACCCCTGAGGTCATCTCAGGTCACAAATCGGGGTCTAACGGTTGTTAGCTATTCGTTAATAACTTCTTATAGGCGCATGCTAGAGCAATGAAAGCACTTTAGATGTGTTCAGGTCGACTATACTGATAAGCTGATAAGCGATAGGACAGGACCTTATCCGGTCAGGTCATGACCTTGCCTTTGGTAAAAATTTCAATTTGTGCAGTTCATTAGACGCGTCTCGATAAGAGAAACACGATATGCTTTCAAAACAAATGTCGCACCTCTCTCGAGTCGAAAGTTGTTACAGCAAAAAGGTTTTCGTAAAACGGCTATTTTTTTAGTTTTTGCCATCTGGAGGCTAAACCGTTTGTATTAGGTCAATCTAAATACAGTATACAGAAATAGCGTAAACAGGGCAATCGGTTGCATTTTTCGCGGCGCTGTAACTATTGGTTGCCGAGTTATGTGTCAGTTTTTTTTTAAATGTTGAAATATGCAAAATTTTACCTTTGATGGCCCCTGGTAACCTGACCTAAATAATGACCGATGTACATATTTTCCGTCCTGATTTTGGACGCTCTTTCAAATGCCGCCTACTGTCGCTACGTGACCCAGGAGCCGAGTAGGACGAGGGGACTCACGTCTTCAGCCTTGTTAGACGGGGAGGGGGCGGGGAAGAAACACATCCCCTGTCCAGCAGGCGGAGACTGGAGTCAAGTACCGGCCGGAGCAGCGGAGTGCAGCGCCAATTTCTTCTTTTTTAAAATAAATTCTCAGATATGTACATGCTACCAAATAACGAACGTACAATGCAAAGTACGGACTTAAAAAATTTATCTTCGATGAGTCAGTTTCATCATTGTAGGTTTCAACTTTCAAATACAAACATAATAACCCAGATCGGATAAATGATAATAATAACAGGTCAAATGTACATTTGTATATTTAAGCATATAACAAATGTATAACAAATGTATATTACAAATGTATTTATACAAATGTATTGTATAACAAATGTATATTTAAACACAAAGCTTTCGGTATGAAAATAGCTTGATCACTGTGTTAAACAGAAATGTAGGTAACCCAGATCATTTAATAATAACCGGACTAAAGCCAGATTGCTATAAATAATAGCAGGCGAGCCATTAATTGTAGTTACGTGACACAGAAGCTGAGGAGGGCGTCAACATTCAACACCTCCCCCACCCAGATACCTACGTTGCGATCGGATCACCAACGTGGCGAGAGGTCACCTTAGGCCAACACTCGGTGACCTTTTCCAGGCAACAGTAGCATTTGAAATGGCTCGACGAGTCAAATAGGATGGTGCCAATATTGTTGCTCTGCAACCATCGTAGCCGAAGCTATAAATAACGTTCCCAAGCCTTAAGACTTTCCATTTGCCAAGTCAGCGGAGACACTGAGCAGTTTGTTCAATGATTATGGAGCGAGCAAAGCGAGCGTAGTCTTTCGTAGATTAGGTGATGGAAATTTCTGAGTATAAGCGGCCGGCCGGCCGTGCGGACGCTTTTGCGAGGCTTATATCTCAGCAACCACTTGACCGATTTACATGAGGTAATTTTTGTAGGTAGCTTCATTCCCTCTACCAAATATCGGACTATTCCCGATGCATTTGGGTGACCCCTTATGCACGTTCCACGTTCAAAACGAAGAGGTGTCAGTTTTGTAACAATTGCAATATATCGGTAACTACTGGGCCGATTGCGCTGAAAGTTGACATGCATAGGCACCCACTAGGCAATGCATATCCATGTGCCACACCCACAGATGGGGTGCTGCTGAACGTGCGCATTGCAGGAGTCGATTCCAGATCTCGAGAACGGCTGAACCGATTGCGCTGAAATTTGGAGCATTGCTAGGGACCGGTTAGAAGGGTGCCGTGCAAAAGTCGGTTGGGACCCATTTTGCACGTGCGCACGTGCAGGGTGCCGCTTTCAGATCTCGAGAACGGCTGGGCCGATTGCGCTCAAATTTGGCACACCGCTAGGGACCGGCTAGTATGGTGCAGTGCACCCTCTCGCTCACTCCGTTAGTCGCCCAAAAGGCGTTTTACTTGGTCTATGAAATGTTGACCCTCGCCGGCCGAGGGGGGGGGGGTGGGTGCCGCCCCCCCCCCCCTAGGGTTTTTCGCGACAGCTCCGAACACGCTGGCGATAGAGAGATGAAACTTGGCATACCTGACCTTTCATTCCAGCCGGATCTTTCGACACCAATCGAATTTTTGGATCAGGTCAGGTCACTGACCTATGACGTCATAAGTGAAACTATGCACGGTCTTCAGATGTCGCAACTTCGCAACGCCCTCACTACCAGAGGAGATGTCACAGGGAAATGAAACTTGCAGGATCTGGTATCCATTATAAGTCTCACAACTTGTTCATCTCGGATTTTTCCTAAAGGTCATATGAGGTCAGATCATTTTCGTGACCTCACCATTATAAGTCAATGGGGAAAAATGAAAACTGCTATTCTGGCGCCGGGAACGATCTCCAACTATCTCAAGCACACAGAATCGTGATTTGGTGCACTCCTTGCAAGGTTAGATGCGTCACTTTTGCAATGTTAACCTTGCGTGACGTCATTTATGACGTCATCAAGGTCATATTAGTTTTTCGTCAATAACTCTTGATCAAATTGAGCTAGCGAGTCGGGAAAGCCACCAATGGACTCAGGAAGACCTGCCAAATCGAATGATATGCGACATGACCTCTTTCGATCAGCTTCGTGACCTGGGGGTGCTGACCTGACCTTGACCTAAGGTCAACACCCTAAGTTGACCTGACCCGAACAAAAAGTATATCATTCGACGCGCCTGAGCGAGCCGAACACGCTGCTGCCAAAATCGCGGCTCTGCGGCCGTTTTTTTTTTGCGAAGTTATTCACCAAAAACTGAACCGTACCTAGAGGCACTTGACCTGACCTCAGAGGTCACCGGTTGACCTAGGACCTTAAAATTGGGTACCAATCTCTGCGTCTCGTAACGGCGCACACGCTCGTTTTTTTCGCGACGCGCTAGCTCCACCCAGGGCCGGGCGAAACAGCGAGGGGGGGGTCGTACCCGCCCCCCCCCCCTCCCTGGCCGGCGCATATGTAGAAAACCAATAGGTCCGGCGAGAGTTAAATCCTCAGACTATTTCTGAAGGTATAGGTAGAAACCAATTACTTGCTGAGATCGAGCCAAGCACTCTTTTACTGCGTTTTCTGGTATTCGAGTTTGTTTTGATCGCACACCCAAATCAAAACAGATAAATGAAACGTTACCTCATTCCGCCGGTATTGTGACGACCTCGTTGGCACAGAGTCGCGGCTGGCACGGACGTCCCCGCCGCGCCGGTCGGCCGACTTGTGACCGGAGCCGAGCCGACGCCGCCCACCGCCGCAGGCCACGAGCGGTCACCGCGGACCAGTCCATTATTTCAGTCGGAGGGGCGGTCGAATCGGAGCCGAATCTAGCCCTGTAAGGAACTTTAGGGAGTTTGTGCAAGTGCATGTAAGATAGCATAGGCATAGTTTAGAAACGGACTGCCTATATGGATTAAACCCGCGCTCCGTAGGGGGGGGGGGCGAAATGGCCCCCCTGTCCTTTCTCGTAGATATCTCCTAAACGGCTGCAGACATCACCACCAAACTTTCAGGACCCCTCCCCACATCAATTTTACACATCGTGACCAAAAACTTTTCCAGAGGCTATAAGTTGGTGACAAATGACGTCGGAGTGACGTCATGTTCTGCCATTTTCGACCCAAAAAAGGCTTCGTGGGAAGAAGTGTCAGGCCTACAGCTTTGAAGATACAGAAAAACGTTTAAACATTTAAGTTGTAGAATTGACAGGGCTAAAAACTGCTATCTCGGATTTTCGAAATTTAGGATTTTGACCCCCCCAAAATCAAAAAAGTATTTTTTAGATATAATAGCGAAAAAATCCCAAAAGTTTTTCGTAGGTATTTCGAAAAACAAAACGGAATATGTGATAGTACCTACCTTCCGACTTCTATCCACATAGCAGATTTCAGATCGATCCCTCTTTTTTGGCCAAGTTACCTATAGCGAAAATACTGTCCAAAAATGATGATGAAAAACTTCAAGCTTAATTTTTTGCAATTCTAGACCAAGTAGCGCAAAACAAAGACCGCCATTAGCCTCCCCGTTAAGAGCTGTATCGAATCTATATACCTACCCATTTTACCTATGCCAAAGTACCTATCAACTTTGAAATTTGACCTAATTTGACCTGACCTTCACCAGAACATAACTTTAATGGCCCTAAAGGCTGCCTGACCCACATAATCGCATTTGTCATGTAAAATGAACCATAAAACATGTACCTATCACACATCACTTTCATATTGTGACCCTCAGTCAAGTATAACCTGGCCTTTGTGACCTGACCTGGTAATTGGTATCAGTGACCTCAGATAGCAAAATATGTGTTTGTCGAACAAGTTCCATCGATGATTTTCAATAACATACCAATTTACTCGATTTCACAACACATTTCTTGAAATGCCTGTAAACGGTGAAAATGCGACATTTGCCTAAACTGTGACGTCATTGGTTAGACCGAGGTCAATGAAATTGGGTACATGGTAGTTCACTGGTGGGGGTTCACATCGATATCGAACGCCGTTTGAATTTTGAAAATCGGCCGGTCAATTTCCGAGATTTCAGGGGGGCTGTTTTGCTCCCCCCCCCCCCACGGGTGGTATAAGGTCCGCCGATAGCCCTACGGGTCACCAACAGCAACGAATAGGTACAGCGTCGGATTCAGAATCGCTCTAAAACATTTAGGTGATAAATTTGGGGACGGGAAATACGAATATTACTTTTATTTTGACCTACGAGTAACTCCCCTCTCTCTAGTCCCTTAATCGTCCCTCAAAGGTTGGGGCGCGTCAAAAGTGCCTCAAGGCTTCGCTGAGGGTCAGAATAATGGTCGTGCAGCCAATTCCTCCTTGGGACACTTTTGACACGCCCCATCCTTTGAGGGACAATTAACCTGCGCCCTGGTGGGGGGGGGGGGGCTATTTTTTGCCCCCCCCCCCTCCAGACTTTTCGATATACCTATCTCCAGAACCGCTGCGCCGATCGTCACCAAACTTTCAGTAGGTACAGGTCTCGCGGGTTTTAAGCGTAGGTTTTGCCTTTCCGGCTATATCTTTTTCGTCTTCAGCTTTGTAGGCTTGAAGATGTGACCGATTTATTCGTTTAACTCCCTTTCATGATCATGGAAAAAGGTTTGATTGTATGCCGGCTAGTTTCGGAGAAATTAAAGGAAAACCTCAAAATTCGCCGTTTGGGGCATTCTGACCGCGGCTTCCCTGCAGTCGCCTATGACTACAGTGGCGCCACCCGACGAGTAGGAGGCTGAAACACAGAGGCATGAATGAATCCAGCGCGTGGTGAACGGTGGATAGAGGCGGGACTCGGCAGAGGCTATCACTGCGGCCCGCGCAGGGCGTCCTTGGACAGCGGGCGAGCCTTCGGGCGGTGAGGCCAGCGGTCACGACAGCCAGGCTCTGTTTGGCATGAAGGGAGGGGAGGCACTCGCCTCAGCCAACTCAGCCGGTTTGGTGGTAGTGGTGGTGGTGTGTGGGGGGGGGGGGGAGGCGGCAGGCGAGAGGGGCTAGAACAAACGGGTCACGGGATGAAATAGAATGGAAATGTAGTGCCATGGTCAACTTACAATATTGTTTACCTTATCATTTATTAACATTACGAAAGAACCCACCATATTAAATTGAGAAATATACTACAGGAAATGTTATTTTTTGATGTTACCGTTTACTTTTAATGGAAACCCTACTTCTTATTAGGGGTGATAAAATGAGCCCCTCTCCTCGTTTTTTCCTGAATAGCTCTGGTAAATAGTGGCGGATAGCAGCGAAGCGTTCAGTGCCGTAAGTTATTTTTCTCACCATAAGTAAATAAATACCCATGCGGTCAGGAGCCAGGATAAGTTCAGGCCATCTGCAATTAAAAGTTTACACCTACCCTGAAAATTTCATGACCCTGACCAAAATGACCTTAGCTTTGGTCTGTGACCAGTTTTTAGAGCCCATTACAGGCCAGAATGGGCATGCGGCGTGTCAGGTCTCATTAACCGTTCGTTTCTAGACTTGTGATTAGAAACGTCCCAACATGTGAAATTGTGTTTGGTCCCTTGTGTCTTATTTGGCCGGGACCAGCGCAGGAACTTGGCCGGTGCCTTCAGGGCTGCTTAACTACAAATTTGCCGATCTGCGGAGCGCAGGGACACGATCTATCCAGGTTGAAAACCATTCGGAATGACATTGCGGCACAGCTAATCTTCAAGGTTTCCGCGACCCTAGAATATCTGCTGTTTAGCTGCCGGTTTCTGGTCACATTACCTACCTAAAGGCGAGGTCACTAGCGATGGAAATGGAAACACGTTGAACAGGCTAGTGAGAAGGATTCAGAGAAGATGAGAAGCAATTTCAAAGTTCTCTATCTGGTCGTGTGGAGGAAAGACGGCGCTACAAAACTGCAAACTGGGATTTTCAAATTTGTGAGATTTTGACCCCCCAAATAAAAAAAAATTGGTCTGTTACAAAATAGCAAAAACCCCAAACGTTTTTCGAATTAAAAAAAGGAATATAATAGAACAAACATGGAATATAATTAAAGAACATGGAATATAATAGTCCCTGATTTCTTCGATCTACCTAACAAATTGTAGATCGATACCTCCTTTTTTTGGCCAAGTTTTAGCGAAAAAAAAACTTCGAAATTGGTGACGTCAATTTTTAACTCAATTTTTAGCAATTCTAGACCACGTAGCGCAAAACAAAGACCACCAGATTAGCCTTATTTTTCTCACCATAAGTAAATAAATACCCATGCGGTCAGGAGCCAGGATAAGTTCAGGCCATCTGCAATTAAAAGTTTACACCTACCCTGAAAATTGCATGACCCTGACCAAAGCTGCGTGACGAGCTGCATCGAATCGGTACCCATTTTATGCAAAAATATCAAATTAAAAAATTTGACCAAATTTGACCTGACCTTTACCTGACCTTCACCAGAACATAACCTAAACTGGCCCCAAAGGCTGCCTGACCCACATAATCGCATTTGTCATGTAAAATGAACCAGAAAACATGCATCACATAATAGTTATTTTCATATTGTGACCCTCAGTGACCTGACCTCTGTGACCTGACCTGGTATCAGTGACCCCAAATTACAAAATATGTGTTTGACGAACAATTCCCCATCGAAAATTGTCATTCATCGATTCCTTATCGATTAATGGCATGCATTTTACTCGATTTTAAAACATATTTCTTGAAATGCCTGTAAACGGTGAAAATTCGACATTTGACCTGACCTGTGACGTCATCGGTTTGACTGAGGTCAATGAAATTGAGCCAAAAGGTATTTCCTCGTTGGGACCATCCAACACAGTTTGCTGCTTGTCGCTATTTTGCGTGGTTCTCGAGATCTTTGGGGGGGGGGCAAATCCCCCCCCATGGGACCGATGCTTGGTAGACCTTAACGGGGCGCGGGTTGAATGACAGAACTGTTCCCAAGAAATAACACTACAGTCGTCTCCCGGCCTCAATAGTCAATGGTAAGCGGCTAAAACTTTGAACGACTACCTATGAATCGGCACGCTGCCGGCTCACTCCGCCCGCCGCTGGCTACGGGTGGCCTTTACCGTTCAATGCCGATTGGCCAACGGCCGAGGTCGTGCGCTGGTCAGCACGCAGAGAGGACGGGACGCGGTAGTGCACATTGTGAGTGACCTCTGACCTTTCCCCGTCCCCTGGCCGCATGCCGTGTCGCCGGCCCAGACGACAGAAACCGGTTCTAGCCTCTACGCAGACTGCCACTCTGACCCTTCCCTCCCCACTTTACTATGTGTCGTAGTACGCACTCGCGAGTAACTGGGCGGAGCGAATGGTCACCGATACAGAGGCGGAACTGGTTGCCCTCCCGCTCGCCGAGCCACCTACCGCTAAAACCCGCGAGACCTGTACCTCCCGGGCATCAACTGTACACATTGTGACCAAATTTTTTTTTCCAAAGGCTATTATAGGTTGTCCGCAAATGACATCAGAGTGACGTCATGTTTTGCCGTTTTCGGCCCCCAAAAAAGGTTTCGCAGGAAGAGCTGTCAGGCCTATAGCTTTAAAGATACAAAAAATGTTCAGACATAAAAGGTGTAGAATTATTAGGGCTACAAAACTGCTATCTCGAAATTTTAATTCTTTTAAATTTTGACCCCCCAAAATAAAAAAAAAATATTTTTTTTTTCGAATATAATTGCCGACAAATCCAAACAAAGTTTTTCGATTTTCGAAAAACCGGTATATATGATAGCCCCTACCGACTACTATTCACATACCAAATTTCAGATCGATAACTTTTTTTGGCCAAGTTATTGCGAAAACACTGTTCAAAATTGATGACGTCAAATTTTCAAACTCAATTTTTAGCAATTTTAAACCACGTAACGCAAAACAAAGATCGCCATTAGGATTAGACTCTCCGTGACGAGCTGCATCGATTCGATACCCATTTTATGAAAACATATCAACTTTTAAAATTTGACCTTTTTTGACCTGACATTGACCTGACCTCCACCAGGAAGCAGGGCTGCGGAGTCGGAGTCGGAGTCGGAGTCGGTCGGAGTCGACAGTTGTAACCGGAGTCGGAGTCGGAGTCGGAGTCGATTTTAGAAACCCGAGCCGGAGTCGGAGTCGGAGTCACCGAAAATCTGTCGACTTCGCAGCCCTGCTATAGGTCTGCGGAGTCGGAGTCGGGAGTTGGAGTCGCTCGGAGTCGACAATTCTGCCCGGAGTCGGAGTCGGAGTCGGAGCTGGTTTTTGAAAGCCGGAATCGGAGTCGGAGTCGGAGTCGCCGAAAATCCATCGACTCCTCAGCCCTGCCAGGAAGTGACCTAAACCGTTCCTGATGTTCTTATAACCAACACCATTGAGTTTGAAATGAAAAATTGGCCATAAAACATGCATCACACAGCCCTAGTGAAATTGGGTTAATATGCTGACCCTTGGTGACCTGACCTGTGACCTGACCCGGAATTATCAGTGACCTCTAATAGCAACATATGTACTAAGCAACTGACGCCGCATCGCTGATTTTCGATAAAATGCGTGTTACTCGATGTTATAGCGCATTCCCTAGAAGACCCGTGACCGACAAAACATATTATGTTTGACACCTGACCTGTGACGTCATCGATGACCCCGAGATCAATGAAATTGGATTTCCCTCAACAAATTTGACAGGGCCTTCGAACGCCGTTTAAAGTTTGCGGATCCGTCCAGTAATTTCGGAGATACGGGGAGGGGAAAAAGCCCCCCCCCACCAGGTCGCGTTATAAACAGACCCCACCGGCCACCAGGGTGTGAGTTAACCCGACAGGCGGTGGGCCTCCCGGCCACTTTCCGCGCCGTGGGGGGGGGGGGGCATTTTTTACAGCTTAGGAACTACCTACTTGGCAGACCAGCCGATTCAGCGTAGGTATGTGCTTTCATCAGCCGTTTCGAATATGGTGAGCTCAGGTGACCTCGGTCACTTCGGTGACCTTGGGAGGTTACATGACCATTTCGCGAAAACGTCAAGTTGACCTTTGCAGGTCACCGAGGTCACCTGAGGTCACCACATTTGTTATAACGGCTGATGAAATCGCATACGCTGAAGCGACTGGTGGTGTTTTTCATCTCGATCAGCCGGAGTAGTTTCTGAACTGCAATAGGATGGCTGCAATAGGCTAAAACGGTCATGTGACCTTTCAAGGTCACCAAGGTCACCTGAGGTCACCACATTTGTAAGGTCACCGTCAAGGTCACCGAGGTCACCTGAGGTCACCACATTTGTAACGGCTGAGTACTGATGAAATGCTGATTGTGGGGGGGGGGGGGGGTGCAAGCTGCCCCTCCCCCCCCCCCCCGGTTCCCGCGCCTATGACTGGTGGTGTTTTTATCTCGAGCAGCCCAGTAGTTTCTGAGCTATAGAATGAGGAATGACAGCTATATTGATATTGGCGGATGATGCGTCAATACGAAGTTGACCTTTTGAGGTCACCAAGGTCACCTGAGGCCACCATCTTGAAACGGCTGATAAAATCATACCGCCTGATTCGATTGGTGTTCGGTCCGTCGCGATCGGTCCGTTGTTCTATGTACCCTGATCGGTCCAGTGCAAGTCGGCAGTGGTTCCTAAGTTACAGAATAGCTGCAAGGATGGCGGTCGAATAGGCATGGATGAAAGAACCTCATGAAAGAATAAGAATGGATAAAAGAAAGGTTCTCCTTCACCCATCATGGGAAGTGTTGCCCACGTGTTGCCCATCTCCACCAAGGCCATCTATTTGATCTCCACTACGATAATTGTTGGCAGTGGAATAGCGGGAATATCGTTACCACGTTTGGCGTTTGCGAGACAGCCACGGCGCGCGCGTCCGCGTGTGAGGTGTGCGCGTCGTGCGCGCGTGATTGCGTGTGCGATCAAGGCCATATAACCGCGTGTGAGGTGTGTGCGATCAATGTGTGCGATTGTGGTCCTTGCCGTTTATTTGGGCTTGTATTTGGCCCTATTCAACATTCAGGTCGGTCCGCGACCGCGTGTCTATTTTGAATTGTACTGGACGTAATGGGCCTTGACGTAATGGGTATATGTCAAGTTTAGGTCCTAACTACAACTGTGGCGCTTTTGATATGAATATGAAACAGCAAAAATTTTAGGTTTTAGGTTAGGTTAGGTTGTAGGTTTGTAGGTTTTAGGTTGTAGGTAGGTAGGTTTGTAGGTTAGGTTAGGTTAGGGTAGGATTGTAGGTTGTAGGTTGGTAGGTTATAGGTAAGTAGGTAAGGTTAGGTCAGGTTTGATTATGTTTTTTCTTTTATTTGCGAGACATATGAGTATCATTTTTGGATTCAGGATGTCAAATAATGTAAAAATATGAAAAATTTATCAATGAAATCTTCTTAGGACTTAAACTTGACATTTACCACGTAATGTACAGTGGACTGTCATACTCATAAGTCATAACTCATAACCCACAGTCTGCTGCTGGCCGGCGGCCAAGTCGGTATAATAAAAGCTGTCGGCGACTTTTCGGTAAGTTTGCCTAAAGGCCATTTCACGTAAGTGATCCTATGTGTAGGTCCTATCTGCTTACGTTTCCATCGCGTTTACGTGAAACAGCCTCTCTTCAGTCAAAAAGTCCGACAGACACCTATTTTTCTGGGTATTAAGGCCTGGCTACACTATGCGTTTTCTTCGTGCGTTTTTGCGTGTTTGCGTGTTTTGCGTGATATCGTTCTAGAAAAAAAGAACGATATTACGTTTTTGTGATGTTTTTCACCTTAAATTTTAGTTACGTAAGAGTTATATTAGCTTTTGTATATAACCAAAGTAAAAATTATATTGTTTATAACTTTTTTCCTAGAACGATATTACGCAAAACACGCAAACCTGCAAAAACGCACGCAGAAAACGCATAGTGTAGCCAGGCCTTTAGTAGAGCAGACGTCACATGAAGGTTTTCCAACCAAGGAGATGAGCCATAACCGGAGGTGCTTCTTTCTAGGAAAACCTAAACAAACCTAACCTGACCTACCCCGCGTTCGATGTCTCTCGGACGACGAAGATTCTACGTCGTCCGGCCAATCCCGTCCAAGGTCAGCGGGGGCTCGGCTGCGGTTATGGAACGTGATTGGCCGGACGGCGTAGAATCTTCGTCGTCCGAGAGACATCGAATGCGGGGCTAACCTTACCTACAACCTACAAACCACATACCTACAACCTAAAAACCTACAATCTAAAAACCTACTACCTAAAAACCTACAACCTATAAACCTAGGTACCCTACAACCTACCTACAAACCTACATCGCCTCTTCTCGGTTGGAAAACCTTCGTGTCACGTCTGCTCTACTAATGCCTTTTTCTGTTGGTAAAACTGGTCTCTGCTCTGAAGGCCAAGCACTATTATAATGGCATTTGAGACCTACATACTAGTAAAAAACTGTAAACTCTATACCTCATACCACAAACTCTATACCTTACATGGTTAAAGTTATATCAAGTCAAAATTAAAACTTGCAACTCACAACAGAAAACTTGCAAGTTGCAACCTCTCAAAACTTGCAAAAAACTTGAAACCATGTGTCAGGAGGCACATAAACATCCAGTGCCGGTTGTGCTTCGAACCTAGACTGTTATGGGCCTGTTCCAGTGCCTCCAGAAATCTCCAGAAAGCTTTAGAATTCTCCAGTCAGCATTCAAGCACCTCTCTTACCTCATTCTCTTACCTCATTGGGCTCCATCAAGTCTGTAAGTAGGCAGGGAAGGATAGGCTAGAGGATAGACAGAACCCTACACATATAAGATGCACCAGCCAAAAATTAAGCCAGTCATATGGTAATGTCATTCAAGACTTGACTGGAATCATGCACCCAACAGGTTACACAGTGCTAACAAGTTTTGCTAGAATCGATAAGAATGGCACAGAAAAACAGAAAAAAACTCGCAATATGTAGTGGAAGGTAAAGCTGTCACTGCTTTCCTATCCTCCAACTCCAGAAAGCTCCAGAAACCTCCAGTAGCCTCCTGTCAGTTCAGTTGTCAGGACCACATTTCACTGGAGGTTCACTGGAGGCTCTGGTCTACAATCGTGGTGTACATGTTGATGTGGCAATTAGGAATGTAAACAAAAGACTTGAGACCAAATTTACAATTTGCATGTAAAAAATACATTATTTTAATGTTGAAAATAATAACTTTGATGTGCTACGAGTACGCACCTGCGCCATCCTAACTGCCACACATGCATTCTTGCATCAACTATCGTTCACTGAGTAATGCTCTTACCCCTTGAATCATGCAGCTTAACTGTGATGGCATGAATATGGGTACTCTGGAAGCTCACGTCTGTCGGTGCAGATAGGTGCAATAGGTGCAGCGATCGAGTCATGCTCCAGAAGCAGAGAGGTCTCTGAACACAACATACCTACATATATTAGAGGCCAGTTTTACTAACAGAAAAATAGCCGCCTGCCGGAATTTTTTGCCTAAAGACCACTTCACATACGAAGCATAAAAGGTAAAGTCCTAATCCTATCCGCTTAAGTGCCTATCACGTTTGTGCTCCGTTGGTCAAGCGGTCTTTTCGCAAAAAAATCGGCAGGTGGCTATTTTTCTGTTGGTAAAACTGGCCTTTGAAGTTTTGAACCGCCGTCGCCTGGCCATGCCCTCCAACTGAGGAAAAGAAAAGGCTATTGTGGAGCATTCACAGCCGAAGCCAAAACAGTGTTCTAAAATTGGATATTGGTTGGGTGTGCCGATGAAGAAGAAAAAAATCCTAGGATGAGAAAAAAAGAAAGTAAATAACTGCAGTACCTATTTTTGCAAAATGGTGTAATGCCAATTTTTATGCTAACTGATAAACCAGGATTTCATGTCAGGATCTTGACAGGGTGTGGAACAAAAGGATGTGGGTGCATCAACTGTCAAGTGACAAGTGAACTGGCTGTTGGGAATACATGAAACTCTTTTCAGAGATGAAGTAAAGTCGGTCATTCACATTTTAGGGATGAAAATATTTTCCCCATTAGGTGTGATTTGCCACCAAAAAGGCTGAAAAATGAAACACTGAGCCAAAACGAGCTGGATCACGCCAGGTATGTCAGGTAACGAAACAACCTGAGGAACATCACCAGAGCCCTTCGCAAACAACATGAGCAGAAGCTGGCAGCATCCATCAAAGAAAACCCGATGTGCTTCTAGTGGTATGCTAACTCACGACTCAAGACCTAGAACGGCATTGGCGACCTGGAAGACGAGAACCGAGACATGGTGTCCTCTGAAAAGGCAAAAGCAGATGTCGTGAACAGATATTTCAGCGGCGTTTTCGTTAAAGAAGCCTCTGATACCATACCAGTTCTGGAGAGCCTTCATGACGGACAGCTTCCTGAGGACGTCGAAATCTCCGTGCAACGAGTACAGACCAAGTTGGCTGCGCTACGGGCACACAGCTCAGTGCTCACCACTCACCAGACCCTGACGGTCTTCACCCTCGGGTACTGAAAGAGAATGCAGCCGTCCTCTCCCATCCACTGAGCTGGATCTTCAGGAAATCGCTGGACTCCGGGGATGTGCCCCCAGAGTGGAAAATCGGCAACGTGACTCCGATATTCAAGAAAGGAGATCGCCGCCTACCAGCCAGCCACCGGCCGGTCAGCCTTACATACGTTTGCTGTAAGATCATCGAATCTATCATCAGAGACGAGCTCCTGCATCACATGTCAGCAAACGGCCTGCTTCACAGAGCTCAGCATGGCTTCCTGGCAAAGCGATCATGCAGCTCCCAACTACCGGAGGCACTGGAAGACTGGACTGCTGCCCTGGAGGACCGGACCCTGGTGGATGTGGTCTACATGGATTTTGCAAAAGCGTTTGACTCTGTGCCGCAAAAGCAGGGGCGCGGGAACTACTTTCCGACTGGGGGGGGCACACCATAATAGAGATTAACCTAGGGTACCCCCAAATTTAGTTTTCTCACCGGTTTTAGGCCACTTATTTTTCACCCCTCGGCTTTTTCAACAAAAAAGAAAACATTTGCAAAAAAGTATGGTATTCCGTCTCAAAGCTGTGGGGGCACCGCCCCCACGGCCCCAGAGTTGGGGGGGCAAGCTGCCCCCACTGCCCCCCCCGGCTCCCGCGCCTATGCGCAAAAGCGTCTTCTCGAGAAACTGAGGTCGTATGGTGTCGGAGGCAAGCTTCTCACCTGGATACGGGCCTTCCTAGTTGGCCGTCGTCAACGGGTTCTGATTCGGGGATGCAGCTCTGTGTGGGCACTGCACTTGTCTCTAGCGGTATCCTTCAAGGCTTACATAGTGTAGGTTAGGTATCCACAAATACTTTTTAATAAATTTGGTCCGAACCTTTTGAATGATTTACTAGAACAGAGCCCCGCCAAGCTAAGCAGGAAAAACGCTAAATCCTGTTATAGCATCGGATTTGGTGGCCTAAATCCGATGATATAACAGTATTTTTTTTTTCGCCACTGCCCTGAGGCGATATTTTTTTTTTTGCTTGGTGGAAGTTCATAAGTTTTCTACATGATTGGCTTAACTGTGTGCCGCCCCCCCCCCCCCCAGTGACGCGATTTCAGCTCCACTGGGGAGGCGAGGAGGGCAGCGGCATCACTGCGGGGCCTCCCCCCCCCAGTTAACATGTTAGAGGAGGCCCTGCACGGGACGGTGGTGACACACTGCAGGTATTCCTTTTCGTAAGTACTCAGCCCGCTTTTCATTTTCAGCTCGTGGACAATGACTGAGCACATCAGGAGGGACAAAGGTGGGAAGAAACACTCCAGCCCTGGCATTCCACTGGCACCACCAGTCGAGCCAAGGATGATGCTGGTGTCGCGGACCTTGCTGCTTTTACATCACCGCTAGCAGAGGCGGCCAGATTTTCGGGTAAGTGTTGGCGCCGACACTGACTGCGTCTGCAGAGCTCCCGGCAGCAAAACAGTGGAGTGGGGTGGCCGCTTGGTGTGGGGTGATCATCGGTATCATTGGGCTGGGGTTAACGACGTCATCGCGAGTGCGTCGTATCGGTTCAAAAGGCGACCCGCCGTCACCGTCACTCGAGGACGACGATAACGGAGGCTGGGGGGTGCGTTCTTTGCGGGGAAATTCCACGTGAAATTTCACGGCTCCGTCAGCTAATGCGTTCTTTGCCGATCGGCGATAACACTGGAATTTCGCGGCGCATTTGTCGTAGACACTTCATAAATGTAATATACCTGGATTTGTGAATCGCAGTGACTTCGTCGTATTGTGGCGGTAAGTTGCAAGTGATTAGAGGCAAATGGAGGTTTTATTAAAAAGTCACTGGTATGCATACAGCTTGTAAGAATATGGGTATAATATATCTACACCAGTTTGCTGGTTAGTAACAGCAGAAGCGATCCTCAAAGGTTTTTTGTTTGTTAAACGAACTACCTGCTTGTGCAATGATTGCAATGGTCGATACCAGTGCAGAACTTGTTTTGCAATTTAACCATTTTATTATTGATAATTTTGAATTTGATTTTGAGAGGACACCAATAGCTGACCATGACTTGTTAGAGGTTGTAATTTTATGATCTAATGACAAATCCTTTTTCTTCTATTCTCCTGCGAGATGTTGCCAGCCGATGAATCTTGCAGTTGCACCCCCTGCTGCTCGTGCTGCTGCTCGGGCTGGAGACAAGTTGCGGGTCTACCTGGGTTACCTGTACCTGCAGTGGCTGGACGCTGTGCGGCACAGTGGAAAGACGTGCCACAGGCTGTACATTTGGATCCCTTCCCATCACTTTCTCTATGGCATCAAACCATTCCCAAGAAACAGCTTCTGAGCCACTCCTTGACATTTTATCTTTTACTTCTCTGTACTTGTTAACTAGCCTGTACCATTTCTTGCGCAAGAACTCACAATCTGGGACCAAGTATCCCTGTTATCTAAAGTCCAGCTTGACTTCCTCCCACTGTTTCTGCTTTTGCTGTTTAAAGCACACTGCACTGTTCACCTTGGCTTCATTGTAGGCATCTATCAGCAAAGCTACTGTCTTGGAATTCCAGCGTATCCGCCGAGCTCCACCCGGTTTGCACTTGAGACGGCAGTATTGTGATCCTCAGACACCTCTCCTCCTTGCATACTTATTTAGCATTGGTCCACTGTGTTTTGGGCAGTTGAGACTTTCCTCCATAGTTTGAAACAATCTGTCACACGCTTCGCAGAGCCACATTGTCCTGGCAGAGAGAAATGTCTGTTAAAACAAATCCTAAATTTTGCTGGATTTTCTGGGGTTGTTTTTGTGCTATATTTACTGGGTTTATTGACTGAACAGGCTGTGAAATATACATGCTAGACATATGTTCACATTTGTTAGCTTGTGTAAGGTGGTTTATTCAACACTGACGATAAGTGACAAAAGTTTTCTGAAAAAAAATCCCAGAATCACTTAACACAATGTACCTGGCTACCTATTAGGCTGTGTCGCTAGTTACAGATCACGGTGCTCCTATGATTTTCCTTTGCTCCAGGACAACCGAAGACCAGCTGTATAAGAAAAACTTTCGATAAATTAAAACCTATCCTGCGCGTCATGTCAAAGTTTCGAGCAAAATCAGTTTCTGGCGTTGAAGTCTCCTGATACAGCCCGTTACAGTTCGGTGGGAAACAATGCCTAAGCGTGCATGTTTTTGGTGGTGGTGGTGGTGGTGGGGGGGGGGGGGGGGGGTAAACCATACTCTAGAAACTTAAGCAAGAATATGCCTTGGCCTTAGGACTCATATCAGATCTGCTACCGAATTGCCTCCACATTCCAGGTGTCTAAGCTCAATGTCTCTATTGTGGTGTTAGCTTTCTACTTCCAGATGCATGCGCTTACAACCATGACAATTTGGGACATTTAATCAAGAAACTGCACCTGTTAATCGGATGTTGCTTTGGATAGGTAGGTATACATAAATATATACCTACGTATTGGTTCAATGTCTTATCATCATGGCGTTCGGCGCTCGCACCTTATATAGGTACAGTCGTGTACAGGTTGATGGTCCCCTACTCTTTATCCACCGGGTTCCTATGGCTCAGCATTGGCAGCAGCCGCCTGGTATCGGTAGGCTGTGCTGCATGACCCGAGAGTGAAGCGGCACAGTCTACCAACGCCGTTTGACATCGGCTCGGGTCGCCGGGTGGAGCGCTTTGTAGACCAGCTGTTGCGTCAGACCAGCGCGGGGGGAGGGGCTCGTCTCGGTGGTTGGCGTGGGCTGGCGAGTGGTGTGGAGCGTGTTGGTGGACCATGGGGGCTGGGCGGGTGTGTGTGGTCCCTTGCTGCATTGCACATTTTGCGTCGCTTTACAATTGCATTCCTGTTTTTGCTAGGCACAATGCACGGAAGACCCAGCGAATATAATTTACTTAACTTGTGCATTGTGCAAAACGTGATTTGGCACGGTAATCGAGGCAACCATAGGTATTGTGCCTATGCATGATATTTAGGCAATACGTTTATGAAAACGGTAGATTGATGCTGGATGTCAATTCGTATTGCTAAATGTCGGCACGTATTAAATGAATGAATGAATCAATCAATCAATCAAACAGTCAATAGACATGTATAAAACCGTTTAAATGGCTCGCAACCACTAATAGCAATCACACCATCCTAACTCGGAAAAGCAGCCGAAGCCCTGATGAGGCTCGAACCGGGACTCCGCGCTGTAAATTTTGCCAATGATCCATCATCATTCCACCAAGCTAGAGTAACCGGCACCCGAACCCACAAAAACATTAATTGACTTTGCCGCCGACCTCCCGGCCCCGCCGCCCGCCCGGCCAGACTTTGCCCCGGCTATAGCCACCATCCGGTGTAGCTCAGCGTAGGAGTGCTCGACTGTCAAACTGACCGGTAGTGAGGGGCCCGGTTCGAAACGCTTCGGGTGCTGGATGTTTATTTCTCGGTGGGAGGCTTTACGTTTAGTCTACTTTTCAGAAAGATCATTTGGTGACTGACCTGTTTTCTTTCTTTGCTGCAATTCATGAGGAGGCCGTATGCACCCTTGCCTGTCCTTCCGCACCCCACTTGGGAGATGGGTGGTTGCCCCCCCCCCCATGGGTTTGTGAATATATCTAAAACGAATTTTTGGTGGGGGGATACGATCGGTTCTATGCGACAAGTGACCACACACGCCCAGCCCCAGGTCCGCTCACTCCCTACCCATATCACCCCTCCCCACACCACACTCCAGCCCGCCTCATCCACCGAGCCGAGCCATAACGAGCCTCAGCGCCCCGGGGCGCGACCTGTCAGCGAACCGGCGGGGACGCGGGCCGGCGGTTGCGTGCGCCGCGGGGGCAGGGGCGCGTCCAGGCGTCGGGGACATCGAGGCGGCGCGAGCTGGCGCCGCCACGGCGACACTGGACCAGACCTGATAATTGGACACCTCAACATTCAGTCGTTGAAGTCCAAACTGCCGGATCTGCGAGACGACATTCATAGAGGAGTTCACGGATTTGATATATTGTCACTGTTATTACATATATAACAGTGTTCGCTGACAGGTCGCGCCGCGGGGCGCTGAGGCTCGTTATGGCTCGGCTCGGTGGATGAGGCGGGCTGGAGTGTGGTATGGGGAGGGGGTGATATGGGTAGGGAGTGAGCGGACCTGGGGCTGGGCGTGTGTGGTCACTTGTTGCACAGAACCGATCGTATCCCCCCTCCAAAAATTTGTTTTAGAGATATTCACAAAGCCATGGGGGGGGGGGGGGCAACCACCCATCTCCGAAGTGGGGTGCGGAAGGACAGGTAAGGGTGCATACGGTCTCCTCATGAATTGCAGCAAAGAAAGAAAACAGGTCAGTCACCAAATGATCTTTCTGAAAAGTGGACTGAACGTAAAGCCTCCCACCGAGAAATAAACATCCAGCATCCGAAGCGTTTCGAACCGGGCCCCTCACTACCGGTCAGTTTGACAGTCGAGCGCTCCTACGCTGAGCTACAACGGATGGTGGCTGTGGCCGGGGCAAAGTCTGGCCGGGCGGGCGGCGGGGCCGGGAGGTCGGCGGCAAAATCAATTAATGTTTTTGTGGGTTCGGATGCCGGTTACTCTAGCTTGGTGGAATGATGATGGATCATTGGCAAAATTTACAGCGTGGAGTCCCGGTTCGAGCCTCATCAGGGCTCCCGCTGCTTTTCCGAGTTAGGATGGTGTGATTGCTATTAGTGGTTGCGAGCCATTTAAACGGTTTTATACATGTCTATTGATTGTTTGATTGATTGATTGATTGATTCATTTACGTGCCGACATTTAGCAATACGAATTGACATCCAGCATCAATCTACCGTTTTCATAAACGTATTGCCTAAATATCATGCATAGGCACAAGACCTATGGTTGCCTCGATACCGTGCCAAATCACGTTTTGCACAATGCACAAGTAAAGTAAATTATATTCGATGGATCTTCCGTGCATTGTGCCTAGCAAAACAGGAATGCAATTGTTAAGCGACGCAAAATGTGCAATGCAGCAAGGGACCACACACATCCGCCCAGCCCCCATGGTCCACCAACACGCCCCACACCACTCGCCAGCCCACGCCAACCACCGAGACGAGCCCCTCCCCCCGCGCTGGTCTGACGCAACAGCTGGTCTACAAAGCGCTCCACCCGGCGACCCGAGCCGATGTCAAACGGCGTGGGTAGACTGTGCCGCTTCACTCTCGGGTCATGCGGCACAGCCTACCGGTACCAGGCGGCTGCTGCCAATGCTGAGCCATAGGAACCCGGTGGATAAAGAGTAGGGGACCATCAACCTGTACACGACTGTACTCGTAGGGTGTGTCGTAATTTAACCTTTTCTCTCAAATCATGGTGCTCCTATGATTTTCTTTTGCTCCTGCATGGTAGGTCAGCTGTATAAGAAAAAA